ACACGATGATGAAGTATTAAATTTCATGGATTCACGTGTGTTCTCAGTAAGCCGCGGATATTGGGAGCTTTGTTTCATTTTCGTTTACGGAGATGTAGACTGTATATCGAGTATAGTAGCACTCCCGGGGTCATTGAACTCAAAAAGACGAATGATTTAGTCTCGTGTATCTCGATATCGTGACTGTTCTTTTACAACTTTTCGTATCCGGAGAAAATAGGAGAAAATATTTGAGCCTCAGTATCTCAAAACTAACGTACAGCTTTGGACGGAGCAATTTGTTTTAATAATTTGTTTTTACGCGAGGGGAAAATCACCGCAGTCCTTCACAACAGAAAATCGTCCGTTTTATTATTTATTCGAGACGCAAGATGATGAAGTCTCGGTTCTTATATAAATTAAATCCATCATGACCTTTCTCTGAATATGTAATCGCATTGTGAAAAGTTGAAGCTGAAGAAGGTAGGAGGGGAAATTCCAACTCGACGTAGTGCGATTTTTAATTTGCACTCGAGTGCACACATTGTACGACAGGAACGTGTGTGGGCTTCGTAAATCATAATACAAGGTAGACGAGTGTACAATAGCGCAGACGTGCGAATTGGCGGATATACCAAGATTGGTTACGCGAAATACCGTTTGATGAGAATTGTCGGAGAGTGAAAGTTGCCTCATGATTTCACCGAACCCTACGCAAAACAGTTCCCCGCTTCAAAGTACAATGATCGATCGAGTACCGAGAATATAAGATCCAGGACCGCGCAGTTACAGACTAAATAATATACTGAAGAAAATTATTTAATCCCACTGCAATTTATAGTAAATTTTGTTGACGCTCTTATCTTAGCTCTTATAACAAGCAGTAGCAGTCGCATATATTCGTATCCTTCCAGCTGAAAAACAGTAAGTCAAATACAAAAAGCTCCACTCTATACAACATAAGTAAATGCGATTTCAGATTTTCCGAAAATCACCCAACGTTTCTTCGTCGTGTGATGGCCGTGCCGTTTCCTGCGGGAAACGCGCTCCCGAAATCGCGAGTTTTAAGGATCGCGCCTTGCCGTTGCGTACTGCGTACAACTTTGCCGATCGACAGATTCGACCGGGCCGCGAAAAAAAAAAAGAAGATAATATCGCCGTGTGCGTGCACGCACACAACACTCTAGTAGCGTCCCGACGAAAGCGGGAGAGAGAAGGAGAGCGATCGTAAAGCGTGGTAGAATGTACTCTCTAACATAGGGCCCCGTATTGCTTGGCGCGACGCGCAGCGTGCGTTGCATTCCCCCGCGGTGCATTGACTTCGTCTCCCCCTCCAGCGCTCTCAACCACCCTCTTCGTTTTCCCCCTCCTTCGATCTTGTTCCACTAGCCCTCCTTACTCCTTCCCCCTCCCTCTCTCTCTCTCTCTCTCTCTCTCTCTCTCTCTCTCTCTCTCTCTCTCTCAGTCCGCCATCCTCTCTCCTTTTCCTGTGCCTTTCTCATTCTGACCTTCTCTCTTTGCGTCGGGTCCCTCCATGCCGCCGGTGATACCGCCGCACCCCACCTCCCCCCGCGCCAGTGCAAACGCTATCCGGCACAACAACAACATTCCTTCTCTCTATAGCCCTTCGTGGCACGGAGATTCCGCTACCAAGACTCTCTCTCTCTCTCTCTCTCCCTCTCTCTTTCTCTTTCTCGTCTGCTCCTTCCCCCCACCTCTTTCACGCACAACCTCTCTTTCGCTCCCGCTCTGCCGCTTCCTTATCCCCCTTCTTTTTCATCTTCTTCTTCATCATCATCTTCTCTCTTGGCATCTCCGCATCCGCGCGGGTGAGAAGAGACGGGAAAGACGCGTTGTTGAACGGCTCTGCAAAACTGGTCGCTGGCGAATCACATGTCCGATCAACTCGATGCCCATCGGACAACTTCGCCGCATAGTTTCGCCGCGTATCTCGTTCGATACTTTTTCCATGATCGAGAGTCGTCGCGCGGGATAATTGAAACGGATTTACACAAATTCTATTTTATATGAGTTGCATCGCGATGCGCTCAACGGGACTGTACCAAATCGGAGAAGCACGGCGCTAGGTAAGATTGTCCATTAGTAAAGTTTCATATTGTTAAATAATTTTTCCGTAAAAGAAATATTTTTTTTTCCCAAAGAAAAATATAATGTCACAGAATAGCGAGCGAGATTTGATTAAATCAGAAATGAAAAATTCAAAGTTCTCGTTGAAGATTTGAATAAAAATTAAAGAACTTCTCTGGCTGATATTTTCAGTGAATTTTGTCGGAGTCCTGATGAGACAATACCCTGTGAATATCTTACATTAATTTTATAACTACATTTAATATATGAGACATTAAACAAGTGAACAACCATTGCTACACAGGCAATTAAAAAACAACCTCATCTTTCTCTCAGATGGTGCGAAAAACTCTAATTATTTTATGAAATTTTATTATCGTCATCGGCCGTGCATCTCCTTGTGGATACGCAAAAAAGTTCTTCCGCGTGCTGCAAGCGCACCTGCGCATCTCTACCGGCCGGTGATCCAAAGAGGAACGGCATGATGCTATCGAATAATATACAAGACGAACCTGTATTTTCGAAAGCGTGTGTACGTGCTAGGACAGGTGTCAGAAGAGACTAAGAGTCTTGCAAAGGAATCACTGGACATTGACTATCGAAATATTTCTTTCTGGTAACGAAAGAGCAGAAAAGAGCGCCTTCGATGCTAAAAAGCATTGTTAGTTCCTTCTGTCCCTTCTGTACAATCATTTCGCTTCTCTCTTCCGACCTTTGGATTCCTCTTTGTTATATATTCCTCGACCAGTTCTTTTCATCCTTTACCAAAGATGAGAAATTCTCGGCTCCTTTTAAGATTTTCGGCCGTCGCTATGGTCATTTTCTTGATTGATGAGCGAAAAAAGTACACGCTCAAATGCTACTTGCTTTTAATATTTATTCTCAACTTCAATGAGTAATCGTGCGAATTAACTGGAGATTAAATTTGGATCTGATAATAAGACTGAACAGAAACGAAAATATCAGTTGGTATTGTTGTAATCTCAAATTAATTGCTTATAAAGGTACATTATCTGTAATTTTAATACGAGCAATCGTTATTATTGATAAATTTAGACAGTAAAGCTGTATTTTATACACGATAGGGAATACAACAGGCTTCGATTATATCGATCGATGACACTTGGTTTAACATTAAAGGGAAAAAAGATGCAAATATAGAGTAGACGCTGATTGGTTAAGGTCTATTTGATAATTACTAAACATTGCAGAAAAAGATGATTCAGGACTTTTGAATTGATTTTTAACAAGAAATGACGCTATATAATCGGTGAATATCAATTAAGCAACACATTGCTCGAGAGCGCAAGGCAAGAGACGTCGCCGTATTCTTCATCAATACAGACAAACTATGGCCATCTTGCGAATAAGTCGTAAGTAGGTGGCCCTTAAATTTTGGGCCAGGGGTTGCCTGGATCCCGCCTGGCGGGCGAAGTAGTTATCATTCCGCGCACAGGTGTATAGAGGGCGCCTAGGAGCAGGCGCGCGCGCGCGTGCGGGTTGCCACAACATGGCGCTCTCCATATACGCACGATCTCCCCGAAACGAAACTTGTCTCGTGGCGTGAAGACGAGCTTCGTTCGCGAAGCGTGCCCGAAAATTCTGGAGGGAACATTCCGTCTTCGTTCGCCTTGTTCGTCGTCGTCGTCGTTGCCGCCGCCACCGCCGCCGCCGCCGCCGTCGTCGTCGTTGGCGGCCATGTTTGCGCGGACACGGTAGGCGTTCACGGGCGGCACCGGTTCCTAGTACGTTCTCCAACTACGCCGGAGAACTCGTCGTCCCCACTCGCCGGTATGCCGTTGCGTTTCTGGTGGGGTACCGCCAACGATATTCCGTTGGTGTCGCTTCCACCACCGCTGACTCTCTGTCGCCACCTCCTCTCCCTCTCCATTGCCTCGTCCTAATGTCCCCACACGCGAGTCTCCTCTACAAGAGGGTAAGTTACCCCCGTGTCACGGTAGGGGAGAGTCGCCGAAATGGGTGGATGAGTGGGCGGGCGGGCGGCGCAAGGGGGAAGAAAGGGAAGCGACGTGATCGAACTACATCGACGATACTTCGTCTTCCACTTCTTTGCTCATCATCTTTGATTCCACTCCTCGAGAGCGGGGCCGTCTTCATGGCCTCCAATAGTACACTACTCGCAACACTGAGTCTCATCTTGTCTCGTGTTGCTTCTGCTCACTCTTACTCATTTGTCCTCATTCTGTTTTCTTTTTTTTTTTCCTTTTCCTCTTCTATTCCAAGTCACCCCAATCCCCTCCCCCTTAAACAACAACCACCATCACCTTCTCCGTTTTTACTTCCTTTCTTTTTCGTATTTTTCTTCCGCCTCTTCTTTCACGATTCAAAATCTCGAGGAATGACCGCTAAGGCCTATCATGATTATGTAATTATTTAAATGTAAATATTTAATTATCAAATTTATCCGCTAGAGTTCGCTGGAATTTTGCGGAGGCGAATGCGCCGTGATGCGGGTGGGAAATATAAACATATATGAATAATTGATGAAGATAATCCTTCCTGTATGGAGTTGACGATAATCTGTTTTATATTTTGCTCTTAACGCCTTAACGATAAGTATAGAGTGTATTTGTTAAGGTCATTCTACAATACGTGTCGTAAGTTGTAAACCGTAAGAACTAGCCAATTATAGCCGATTATTTTTGTAATAATCGATTGTGATTCGCCAATTTTTACGACTTACAACTTACGACACGTATCGTAGAATGACCTTTAAGTCAAGGCACATGTGTTATTGTTCTAATTTTTTTATGAATACATTTTTATTTCCTTTTCAGGCTATTTAACTAACTTTTTATTGATCCTGTTAATTCTGATAAATTCGATAATATCTTAAAAGATTAGATAATATTTTAAAAGTATAAAAAGCGACAAAGTACATTGTTTTTACTTGACGCTATGTTGATTTATAGGCAAATGGTCGGCCGTATACTGGTGGAAATGTTTCGTGCGGCTGCTAATAATGGGACAAAACTCGCTTTACCGGAAATCATGCACTGTATACAGCCAATTATCGAAGATACTGGTAAGTCGTTTACATTAATTAAGCTACTCTTACAGCCACATTAACAGAACACTAACATTGTAGTACAAATATTCAGTTGTTTTTAAATTTTGTGTACTATACACTAAAAAGAGAAAGAGAGAGGTCATACATGCTTAAGAACATTCTTAAAGAAAGCCACTAAACATTTCTGAACCAGGCACATTGTTTCTGTTCGTCCCTTTATTAAGATTGTTCCTATAATTCCCATAATTGTTTTAGCAAGCATAAATATATAGATACAATGGTCCAATGTCCAATTCGAAAATATTTAATATGAATCTCTAAGTATAACAGCGAAAAATAATTGAAAGATGTTTCAACGAAAACTTTTACTTTGCATTGTTTTTCAACTTACTTAAAGAGCATGGCTTCTTTGTGAAGTTCCAGACACGCGTCTATGCTCTGATCGTTTCACTTGTAAAGGGAATGCTAACATCGATGAGTAAGAGCCATCGCATACAAAATGACATAGAGATGCATGTGCATAGCATAAAATCGCCACGACCAATGAGCGTCCTAGAAAAAAGTTCTGTCAAGCCAGCGGCACACGGTGCCTGTTTTTGTGCTGGATTGCTTGCTGGATGAAAATATTGCGTTCTGATTGGTGCATTTCCATCCATCTTTGGAAATGTACCAATCAAAACGCAGTATTTTCATCCAGCACGAAAACAAGCACCGTGTGCCGCTGGCTTAAATGTTCATCAATGGGGCGGGTTTATATTCTGTGCATATGCATATAGATGCATATTATGTTATTTTGTGTACAATGGCCTTAATATTGTCAATATGATATATATATATATATATTTAATAATTTTGAAATTTTCAAAAGTCGATAAGTTAACAAAAGTTAGGGCACTATTATAGTAATATATTCTTGATAGTAAATAAAGTAAAAAAGTCTAATACTATTTTTTCTTTCGACGGATAATTAGCGAGATAATCATAAATTAAATATTGAAAAAGTTACCAAGTTTTCCTTAAATATTTAAAAAAATATTAGGCAAATAAAAAAATGTTTCAGACAGAAATTGTTAAGATTACTTGGTAGAAAAAGAAGAAATAATAAAAAATTGGGTTTTTTATTTTAAAAAATTAAGTTGACCTTCAACTGACCTTGAAAATGCCCTCCAAATAAAAAACTGATAATGCCATTCTCTTTCCCCTTTGAAATCATGGAACACGTGTTTTAGCTTTTTTTAATATCTTTTATAGTTTTCGAGATTTTTTACCTGTTACGTTCGAAACTTAGCACCCTGTATATATATATATATACATAATTTCATTAATGAGACTGTTTAAGTTGAAAAAAGGAAGAAGTTGTGTTTCAAATCGAATTTACTTTATTCGAAGTCCTAATCTCAACTTCAGCATAGTCAACCGATAGCTGGAATGACTTGTAGAGGTTTCCCTTTGATACAACTTGCGAAGAGAATGTCATAAATTTTCGGGTATCTTTGGTATCTTTGGAATGTTTACTTTCGGTGATAATTTGCGTTAAAAAAACAGACAGAAGCTGGACCGCTTCAAATTGGGAGGGTACGATGAGTAAGTTTTTGTAGACAGGAATGTTTTCGAAATCTAAATTTCAGTAGGACCAGGTAACTGGGACCAGTTACCTGGTTCACGATAGCAGATCTTAAGTGAACACTTCACTTTCTCGAAGATCCAAAATGGTCAAGTAATCTTTGCCGCAGTGACGGTATGTGTGTAGATCATTTTAGATAAATCCATGATAAAGGTAAAATAAAGGACATTCTTGGACATTCCTTTTAGACATTCTTGGAACCAACAAATTTTTAGCTTGCGATAATTTTCAACAAAGAAAGGTCTGAATAAATCAGTACTGAAGATATTTCATCGGCAGTCGCAGTCGACTTCAAGGATTTTAGTTTTCCTTGAAAAACTTTGATGTCTTGGACGAGGTGTGGTCGCATCATCCAACAAAGCGTACACAATCGCTTTTCTGTCCAAATCCCCTCGATGTCTCCTTCCTACCTTCTTATCGAGACCGGAGATCTCTGTAACACTGTAAGCCCAAATTTTTCTGTTCTTATACTTCTACGAGTCTCTTGTTACTAACCCAGACTGTTGGACATACTCTGATTTTTATTATCTTTAAAATCTCCCCGACTATTTTTGGGCCATATAAAGCAAAGAAATATTTGTTCAAGAGATAGGCATTTATCCCCATGCATTTTCGGTATGGTATTGTTACCTTACGTCTCGCATATGCTTTTACTAATTTTAAAACGGAATTTAATATTCACTCTTTGCGCTTTTGCCTCTCCTAGAGGACACTGAGATATTTAGTAGAAATTTTAACAAATAATACATAAAGTTATGTGCTTCGAAATAATGAGCGATTGTTATCAGCGTCAAAAGTAGATTTTATAAAAAAAAAAAGTCGGTCTCGCTGTTTAATCTTCCAGCTAAGAACAGTGCAAGGATGTTTATCATTGCACATTTTTGTCACCGTTTCTTATATGTTCGATGTGGAAGGATTGAAAATATTTACTTCTGAGCCAAATCCTTCACACCACTCACGCATGTCATAAGCATAAATATGGTAATAAGTTTTGCCAAAACTAGCTTGCAATTTTTCGTTTGCTTCCTAATCATTTTCCGCTGATGCTTATGCAAATTTGTGCTCACATTTATTAACACAATTTACTCATTAGAACCGAGATTGCGATCGTTAAATATAAAATCTTATCTTAGAATGACCCTAAAATTTGCATACCAACTGTAGTTAGAGTATTAATTAGTTCGATACTTGCAGTCGTGACATTAACGAGATACCGACTTTTCAGCATTATTTGAAATTTTAAAATTCTAGAAAATTCTTTAACTCTTAATCCTTAAAATATTCTACAGCGACATATAGTGTTAACCATTCCTGATCACAGAAATTCTACCAACATTAATTCGTACTATAAATTTGTAAACACAAATAATATGACGTGCACGCGTGAGATATTTTAACTTTGGCTTTGGTCTCTGAAATTTTTAAATTTGGACATCAAAAAATTTAGATTTGATTATATTCTTTTATTTCCATGATATTAATCCCATTATTGTATAGCGGCTGCTAATAATAAATATTACATATAATATTGAAATTTTTTAAATGTTCGTTACAATTGAACGTACATTTTACGTTTGGAGACGTATAAATATCCGAGCCGGCTGAATAAGAGGGCTGTTTCTCGGGAGAAGACAAAGATCGCCAGTCGTTTTCACGGGGGTTGAAAGACGTTAAGATAGCGACGGCGTTAAAGCAATGTCTTTAGAAGTAACGACGAGAGAACGACGTACCTCCGCTTCCGGTATGACACGCGACCGTCGCTTTTTTCCGTCGCAACCGGAAGTCGCTTGTGGATTTGAGAATACAACATTAAGCCCGTCACGGTATTTATACGCGAGAGGGTACGATCTCCCTGGTCGCAGACGTAAACTCACTCGGTTCTTAATTTAAACATCGCCTTCTTTGGTTACAAAGAATCTTGGACTTATCGAGCGACTTGACGATTATTTGAATATTTACATAACGCGTGGATACACGCCGTGTCTCGATAAAATATTTTATTCCAAGCAATATCATGTGAATTGTACTGCGTACGTAGACCGAAATTTAGATTTCTCTTAATCGCTTATTCAGACCTTTTTTCTTTATCTTGAAATACACGATGAGCATGCTGGGTTTGTGTAACTGATTTTCTATTATCTGAGGATTTGAGGAAAATTCGGTTATATGGAATGGAAAGATTTCTGCGGAAGGTTTCTGTTTAATCAATTGTTCTCGGTTATCTCAACTAAATTGTAAAATAGCCAAATAATCAGACAAACATTTCTAGTCTGGCGGTAACAGAAGTATCATTTCTAATTCCTGAATTTTCGGTCTCTCTATTCAGTCTCACGAGCTGAGACTTTTCTTGTACAGTAAGAGAATCTTCTTATATCTGCTCCATTTTCCATTATAAGTGCACTTTTAGTTGTAGTCGATTAGCATGATATTTTGTGATTTATATATTTAATATTGTAAAAAAATAGTGTACCATGTTGACGTGCGACTATGACGCTTATCTATTTTAGCATTGGATATCGATCTTATTGGACAAATAAGACATAATTAGGATGACTATAGGTACATCTGACATTAATTACATACAAATATTGATCGGGAAATTTGATTGAAATATTGAAATTGAAATTCGCTAAATACTGACTCTTCAGAGACATGGATAAATAAGCCGATTTATGAGTAAAATGAAAAGACAAAAATTATTTCATGTTAAGGCTGTAATTTCTGCAGTGGTTGGATATTGAGGAAAAAATATCTTTGACTACTTTATATATCTCTCTTTAACTTCAGCTAGTTTTACCATGAACATTGGGTTCTGTGCGAAAATTTGTTTCCTTTACCTGCAATGCCCAAACTGACCTGCAACATCAAAGAATGCGAAACGCATTCCTTCAATCTAGACCCATCCTGCCATTTGACTAAAACCTTTTTCAAAACCTTCATTCTCACGGCCAATTGTGTTCGCAGGATTGAAAATACAACGAAATATTTCGTCAGCTTTTCTATTTCTATTATTTCTCTTAAAAACATCAGGAATAATATCACAATGCCTGTTTTGTTAAAAATTTATCACTTAAAAATCAGTTGTCAATAATTATTAGCATTAGGTTTGAAGTATCTATATGACAGAATGAAAATATACATTAGAAATTCGTTATATATATATATATATTTTTTTTTTTAATGAAATTGCATATATATAGTTATAAAAAAAAAGTTTGTATATGGTTGTTGTAGCTAACCAAAGTTTTAATGGGGAAAGTAAAATTGAATTTATAAACGTAAAAACCAAGCTTTGCTCCTCGGTAAATTTCCGGTGTGAACTTCGTTCCAATGAAATCTCTATCTAATGTTTAACAGTAGAAAATTTCCATCTACGCTCGAAACAAAACTTTTCACGGGTAACTAATTATCCTTTGTTCTGTGTCTGCTAAGAAAAGAACAGAGACTTGAAAACCGAGAAAACCTAAGAAGCTAGAAAGCTCATATTCTTGAGAGACGGAGACGTTAGGGGTGGGGTCGTCGTCACGAATGATACAAATACGGTGTGCATCCGGAAATGTTAAGATTCGGGCACGCGAGAGATGCGCGCGATGCCGCTCGGTTACATCCTGCTGAGCACCCCAAAGGTGATGCATTTCCTAACGAGCTATATTTAGGAGCCACTCACGGAACATCTTGCCTGTAGCACGTGCCATCATCAGCACCGTTTTTCCATAGGGGGACACGCGGAAGAAGCCGCTACGATGTGGTACCGGCTCGCGACTTTTAGGGGGCACGCGACATGCTTACATTCTCGAATGTCGCCGGAGTTTTACGTATTTTTGGATATACGCAACATGCCGAGTCAAGTCGAGGAAGGAACAAACCCGCGCTGCCGAGTCGAACCCCCGATTGTTGGTCGCGATCGTTTTCAGAGTCACAGAGAGAAGAGAGAGGTTGGAATTTTCGATGTCGACGTAGACGCGCGGAAATTATCTTTATATTTTACACGTGACAACGCAGATACGCATTGAGATCGGTTTCTCCGCGAAAAATCAAATCGACGAGACGATATTCGGTATCAAAATCTGCACTATTATTATCATATTACTTCATCTTATCGTGTAATGTCTTCGCGCGCGCTCGTATCCGCGTGTAGAAAGTACGCCATCTTGCTTTGCAGCGAATCAGCCCGACCGACTCCACGAGCGTCAGATACTCCGTGAAATTAATAGATTTGTCGTTGCGTTACTTGCACTTTTGCACAATTTTGCATGTAATTCCCGTCGCACACCAAACGCGATGATGATGAGCGAAATGCAATGAGAACGTTTTTTTCTTTTTTTTTTCTTTTTTTTTTCTCCCTAAAAAGAATTAGTGTGCAACGGGCATTAGGTATCAAAGCGCAAGAGACCACAGATCGTGTCATATAGAGAACGATATTATAAGATAATAAATTATTTTATCGTTTTTCGATATGGCCATCTAGTGGTCGAGAGCGTCTACTACCTTTACGTGGCAATTACGAATTTATCTTTGTGTAACGTGTCGTGTATCGTGCGACGAATTATTGTCAATTCTCTTTATCGATGAATAATAAAAATGTTATTTATGCACCGTCAAAGTTGTTGAGAGAAAAATTCGCACATGTGACTCAAAATCAAGTTGTCGGCTACAGTTGACGCGTGATTAATGAAATTATACCGGCGCTCGCCGGCTGTCAACTTCATAATTGACGATCGTATCGGAAATGTCAGTGACCAATCGTGCGAAGTACTCGCATGCAGAAATATTAACAAGCTATTGAGGTCTCAGGAAAGAAGTCAAATAGACGTTCAAAAAGAGCAGGTCGACTAAGTTCGGGTAGATTCAAATGGACTTTGCATTTTTGAGAGGCGGCATGCGATAAGACTTTAGCTTTTGAGCAGTGGGATATTTTTGGCGGGACTCAGATGAGGAAGAATGCGCATGCTTTCTTGAGTGGAAGTAAGCGGAGAAGTAAACAAGGCCTCATGGGTGATTAATGTACGGAGCCTGGAACGGCCTATCGCGTCAGGCTGAGTCAGAAAAAGAGCGAATTTGCAAACGTGCTCCAAAGAGAAACGCGTGAAGGGCGCGGAAAGGCAAGAATAATCGAAACGGGCGGAAAGTGGGAAATATGTACGTTGTTCTGAAAATTCTTCTGCGCTTCGTCAGGATGCGCGCCTATCGCCTTACGGTACAGCTCTAGGCCCCAAATTGTAAAGTCGTCCCCCTCCCTTTCAGGATTCAGGACGCTCTACCCCCTCCACTCACACACCCTCCTACTCACTACCCTCCACTTTTTCATTCGGTGAGTCGTTTTCGACAATCATTTTTAGCCACGTCTAGCTTCAGTCACTTGCTTAGCGTGGGGAAGGAAATGGATTCTCCTTATGGGACTATTCCTCGACTTAATCATTTAACTCTCGTGTGCATATTGTCGCAGTAGTTTTCGACTTCACGTTCACGAAGAAGTTACTTCAGTGATCTAGCAATGCGATATTATGTCGAACATCGCCCAGATGGCACCTAGGTATTGTTTCGATATATTTGTCGGCTCTTCTCTGTAAATTTATATCAACTACTTAATTTGCTATATCGTTTCCGCACAAATCCTCCGTGTGCTTCGCACGATTGAGCTGGAAATAAATAAATTTAATTTCTGTCAACAGATGCTCAAGTTCGGTCAGATTTAGTGGAACAGCTTCCGCACGTGGCGATGATCTGCCACGAAGCGCCGCAGCTCTTCGGCCGAGGTGTTCTTCGCAAGCATCTGCTCGATATTATCATAAAATATCTTCGGGACATGGATAAACAGGCAAGTACAACTCAGCACGATTGTTGCCCTTTTTGTACTTTTTCTTCTTATTCTTAAGTAAAGACCAAGATTTCGTGAAGATGCAATGAATGTGTTCTTTTTTGTTCTTAGGTGCGACTGGCGGCTCAAAACGCGCTGTTAACGCTGATGAAACGGGGCCTCCTTCACAACAACACTATCGAGAACGAAATCTGTCCTGTAGTAGAATTTTTGTCCTACTTGTCGGCGGACTTTCTGAGCACGAGCGTCTCCGTAAGTTTCCCGCGATTCATTGCCTTCTTTTCTGTTTTCTCTTATTCATTTTCATTGCAATCGAAAGTGGCTGAAGATTTGGCATACAGAACTGCAAGTGTTATTATAGCTTCATAAAGTTGCATTACTTTCGAAGGAAAACCTATGTGCTACTTAAAGAAACATTTGGGAGTGTCTCTCATTGATTTTGATCGCCGTTAAATACGTTGAAAAACAAATACAGATAAGAAGCGCACATTTTTTTGAGCTTAGGAGGTAAAATAATTATTTAGATCCTATATCTCTCATATATATCTCATAATTCCAGAGACATTATCTCATGATCCATTTTATCAAATTATTTTCGAGATTATTTCATTCTCTAAATGTAGCAAACGCATATAAAAAAAATCCGTATAAAAATTGCCCCACAATATATTCGAAAATCAGCAGAATCAATCAGGGATGTTTTCAAGTGTTTCTTTCTAAAAAAAATTAGCACTATAAAGGTTGTGTCATAAATTTAGATTACAAAATTTATATTACAGAAGAAACAAAAGAGTTTTTGCCATGTATTTAATTTCCATATCTAATATATGTTACTTATAAACATCTTTTCTTGGAATTTTTATGTCAAAGTCAAATTTCTCTCACCTGTAAATATGTAAGTGCTATTTGGAAAATTAGCTTTCTTTGAGATTTTATTTTTGACACATACATGGGTTAACATTTTTAAATACACGTCATTCATTAAAGGACAACTTGGCTGTTCTTTTGTATCACTTGCCTGCTCTTTATGCTGAATCTTCGTCATTGACGTTCATACATTTCGGAATATCTTGCGCTCTCGATCGGAGATACATAGCCAAGTGAACGCGTATTCGAATGCGTATTGGAGTGAAACGCTCTTCCGTCGTATTTACAGATTCCTCCTGAAAGACATGGGTAGTGAGATGTTCTCACGCAATCGCGTCTCACTATCTTGTCTTTCATGCGGCGTCTGTTAGCCTCGACGTTGTACAATGAACCTCAGAATTACGCGGTAAAATTATGATAATCTGTTACATCAGTGGGAAACAAATCACCACCATCAGAAACGTCGAATCGAGGCGAGAAACGAATAAACGATCAGAAGAAAGGTATGAGCGAGGGAGAAACAGAGTCGAAGTGTTAAATTAATCGCATTTTAAGAATGATATCGAAAGAACGAGAGAGAGAGAGAGAGAGAGAGAGAGAGAGAGAGAGAGAGAGAGAGGAACACTTATTCGTCATCGTTTGAAGATCTTTATAAACAAAAAGTGGCCATAAAGCAACACGTGAAATGTGGAATCATGGAAAGCACAAACTCTGGCATCCTGGCGAAAGGCGGGGCATGCTTTTACCATCAAAGTTGGTTTGTCATAGAGTTCGCGACTATCACAGCCAGCTTTGATGAACAAAATTGTGTCCGTTCTCAGCGTGCTCCGATGGCTAAAAAGAACGGAGTCTTGACTCAGAGAATCGAGAGAGTGATAAAATAAGACGCGCGGGCACAGGGGGTAAGAACGGCAAACCGAAGAGGCATCCGAGGACCTATCTAGGATTGGGACAGTTAAGCCATACCTTTTGCGGTCCGATACATCAAATTGGTTGTGGAATGTTTCGAGTCATATCACAGCCATTTTGATGACTTTGGCCCGCAGAATCGATCGTCGAGAAGATCTCTCACCCATCGTTGATACATCAGAGAAATTTCTCTTGTCGTGCAACTGGCGTGCGAAGAAGGATCGTTGTTGCGGTGTTTACCGAGTGTACCGAGAACTTTATGCGTTTTATTGCCAGATCTTTTGCGAGCAATTAGGATCACCGCCGTATGAAGCTTCATCCGATGAACGCAGCATCAGGAGAAACGCGATCCAATCGTCAAATTGGTTGTGGCGTGTTGCTTCTCTAAATTTCATATCACAGCCATTTTTGACGAGTTGGATCGCCGTTTTATGCATCGCCTTCCGTACTTAACACAGAAATTGGAAAGGACATAAATGTGTACGTAAAAGATCTCTCGCCGTGCGAAGGTTCTGGAAGTAATTTCTTCAGCTACAGAAGGAAAGTGTACCCGCGTTGCTCACAAAGTGGCTGTGATATGCTGATGTAATAGCGCTCATATCACAGCCAGCTTTGATGAGCGTTGCGATACTCATAATTCAGCAAGTTTCATGCGAAATTCGCGTTAGGGACATTTCTGATGAACCTCTTATAAGTATTTGCTAAAACTGAACAAAAGCACATTGCAAAGGAATGTTAGAAAAATAAGCGATGACATATGCGGAGTAAAATGTCAATCTCGCTAAATCGCGCAACCCGTCGATGGTAGATTTTTTATGAGATATTCTCGGGCTGGAATTTTAAGACCAAAATGTCTCGAGGCTACGATAACTTTTAAATAAGATGCATTTAAATCGTACTGTCCGAAATTTATATCCGCTTAAATCGCTAGGTTATTGGATAATTACTCTTTTCAAATCAAAATGTTTGCTTTATATCTCTAACGCCGTTTCCGATGGTCTTGAGGTGTAAATATATGTATTATATCTACTTTATAAGATTTACTGTGATGTAAATATCTGAATGTTTAGGCGTAATTAGTATATATGCTCGCTATAATTTAAGCCATTATTTATTTGTTATTTGTTATTTGTCATCTTCGTTGTAACTAGACTATATATTATTCTATGCTATGTGATATAAATTCTTGTTTGTAATAGCATAAATTCTACTTGATTAATATGCGTTTTCTTACAGAAGGGAACAATGATTGTTTGAAATTGACTGTTCCACCCATCAGAGTGGTTGTGATGTGGTGTTGTTAATTCATATCACAGCCAGCTTTGATGAGCGGAACGGGACGATTTATCTCAACCGAGAAATATTTTAAAATATATCTTCCACTTGGTTAATGCGTAAATGCACATAGTATATTAACACAAAATTGTGCACTTGTTACGTTAAATCTTGTACCAATCAGGACTATGTAATCGATGTAACCGTATTAATATTTAAGAAATTATGCGAAGCTGTATTAGATATAATAATTTTCACGGAAAGGAAAATATGTACAATGTCACGCGCGCTTCTCTTTTACGTTAGACTTGTCATAACGCTAGCAAAAATTCATTTCAACACGCACATCCCATATTTTATATTGATTCGCAGCTCATGTGTAAACTGGCACCGCTGATTGGTAAAGAACTCACAGAAAGGGTCTTTCTGGACAGATACATCGACATGTGCGAAGATGACGATATGTCGGTGCGAAGAATCTGCGCCACTCACTTTGGGGAAATGTGCGCCGTTGTGAGCAGGAAGGCACTATTTCGAAAACTGGTGAGTCCCCCCCCTGATCTCATAGATACAAGAACAAGGAATCCGAGAAATACTGATGAACACTTGTGCTGTGCTGTGGAGACTGCATTGTTTAATACTACCATTCCAATGCCCTCGTAGTTCCCTACGTTCATCCATTTGTGCGGCGACCGAGTATGGGGAGTGCGAAAAGCGTGCGTCGACGTGATGATGCCGGTCTCTTGTTGCTCGACGCTGGAACATCGTCGGTTGTTTCTAGCAGAAATATTGACAAAACATTTGAAGGACGAGTCCAAGTGGGTGCGAATGTCTGCCTTTCAGATACTCGGACCGTTCATATCGACTTTCGCCAAGCAGTTCACCGAAGTCTCTTACAATCAGCACGGCGAGTTGGTATATACCAGTACGCAGGATAATTACTTTAGGTATAATGTGTCGCACTTCTCGCTTTCCATCACATTCGTGTCGTTGCGTGTGCATGTGTGCGTACTTAAATTGGATAATGGCTCTTTTTGCAGCGTACGTTATCCGTACGAAGGCATGTTCCCTATGAAGAGCGTGATGCGAAATCAAACACCCGATATGGATGATAATGCCAAAGGCGCTTCTTTTCACATGTCTGTGATAAATACGAAATCCCCCGTAGCGGAGTCCTGGGAAGGGAACGAACACCAGAAGAATAATGATCCCACGAACCGACCACGCTGCGTTTATTACACTGCGTTTAAGAACAAGGTATGTAAGTAATATGCGTATGTATATAAGAATTTCAATAATATCTAAATTTATTATTATCTTCGAAGAGCGTAACATTGCACGTTAACTTTGTGTTTTATTACGTCTAAAACGACAACAACGATCATTCGTTCATTTTTCGTTACGTATTTGTATGCATACTGTAGAGCTATAATCAGATATAAAATCTTGCTTTTACGATGTTTTGTGATATGGATGTTCTTTGACTCGACTTTCAGATGCAAAAGAGGCCTATTCTATCAACTCTGAGAGAGAAAGATACGGACGAGACGGAGAAATACAATCCATTTTTATATTATTATATTCCTCCAGAGGCACCACTGGACGACGAATTGATTCATGCCGCGAGGCAATCGGCGATGAATCGTAATAACGCCGAGAAAGTGGCAGCAGGAAAAGAGAATGTCATCGATGAGAATAGTTCTAGTTCTTCCGAAAGCACTTCATCGAGCTCGAACAACGAGGAAGAGGAGGAAGAGGAAGAAGAGGAGGAGTTAAATACGAAGGGTCAACCGAACGTGGATAAGCTCGATAATCATAAAGAAGAAGATAACGACGATTACTCGTCGACGCACGACGCGAACGAGTTGTTAGAGGACACACTCTACATATGCTGCACCATGAACCAGAAGAGCATCCCTTTTAGTTTCAATAACAAGTTAGACACCATAAAGAAGCAAGGCGAACACGACATCGTGCCTCAAGAATTGATCAGGCAATTCGTGTCGATGGTTGACCCGGAGCAATGCGCAGACATGGGTGCCGAGATACCACATCATTGTGCCTTTAGTTTTCCCGCGGTCACACTCACGCTAGGTAAAGAGAAGTGGTATTGCTTGAAGAAAGCTTATCAGTCGTTATCGAGCGCGAAGCAATGGAAGGTCCGGCGTACACTAGCATCTAGCATTCACGAGATCGCTCTGATCCTCGGCGAAGAACTCACTGCTACTGATCTCGTCCCGATCTACGATGGCTTCATCAAAGATCTGGACGAAGTCAGGATAGGTGTACTCAAACACCTCGCGACTTTCCTCAAGATACTCAAGCCTACCGATCGTTGCCAATATCTGCCAAGGTTAAGCGACTTCCTCGCCACTGACAACGAATGGAACTGGAGGTTTAGGGAGGAACTGGCCACGCAGTTGCTCGAGGCTGTGACTCTATTTAGCCCAAAAGATGTGGCCAAAAGCATCGCACCATTATCTCTTCAGTTACTCGTGGACAAGATCGCCGCAGTTAGAACTGTCGCGCTTGACCTGGTAAGATACTTCTTACCTTCTCTTTCTCCTTTCTTCTCTCTGTTTCCTAGACAATGTGTTATTTATTCATTCGTGATTAGTTCGAGACACACTGACAGCTTGATGCTACATCGCTAATTTTTATGTTCACTTTCGTGCTTTTTCAGGCGTTGCTCAGCGTTGCTGAGCGCGTAATTGCCGTTGCTCCACTTGTCACATTTTTCTTGCCATTATTTATATCTTTATCACTGTGTCTATAACGTGCAGAATGATCAAGCGAATTCTTTGATCTTCCTTTACATCATTTTCAATATCACTGCACTTTTTACCTTTTTCTTTTTCAATCTTGGTAAATAACTTGGAGAAAATTTTCTACAACGCTAATAAAATCCATCTCTTTTTCCATATACTGCGAATGTCTCTGATATTTTCCGCTCGCGCTATTCCGTTCTAGGTCACTCGAATCGTATCCCACTTGTCCGTCGACGACGCTCTGGTAACGTCGCTTATCCACGAGCTTCGTGACACCTTGGTTCCAAATAGCAAAAAGTGGATACGTCGGCAAACGTATGCGATCTTGTGCGCGCACCTATTGCACAACGGTGCCGTCGCGGGAAGTATGTTTACTAAAGAAATGTTACCAAACTTGATAGGTTTGTCATTCGACAGGGTACCAAATGTAAGATTAGCCGTAGCGAGAACCTTAGCGAATAATGTGAGCACGATGGGTCGTAAGTATCATGTCGTTTTAGAATGAGCTTTCTCGATATCGCAGTCATACAATCGCAGCATGCAATTATCCTGTGTATCCTTATAATTTCCAGTAGACGGCTTAGGTGCGGAGCGAATGGAAGAGGTGGATAGAATACTCAAAAAAATGCGCCTTGATGCCGATCGGGATGTGCGAGTGTTGGCCGGTGGTGAGGAACAATTAGTGGATACAGTATCGCAAGACTGCGTTGTAGTACCGCAGGATGAGGCGGAGAACAAGCAGCCGAGAAATATATTATCCTACAACGAAGTTGTTTACGTTCCACGAACGAGAATGAGAAGGGAAAACGAACTTTTTGTATCGCAAGATGCGCCTCCGTTCTTCCACGCGAGTGACTAGTTTTGTAGCGAAAACCAATAAGCCAAAAGTATATTCTAACTAGCTACGAACATCAAGCTTCAGCCGCGAATCGTTGTATAAGTACCAAATCAACCGGCGGGGGTAGTCCCGATCGCAAGCGGGCCGGCGACGTAAAACAAAGCTCAAATGTTAAATATATCGTTCATGATTTTTAAGTAAACGAGAATAATAGGTACGATATGGTTTACAATGTCTGTCACATTTAAGTACTGATATGCATTTGCGTCCTTTAATCTAGGGAGAGAGACTGTGAATATCGATGGTCGCAACGATGCCATGCGATCACGTAAATAGCGTGTAAATGTGGAAACATTTGTGTATATTATGGTGACAGTAAGTAAAGTACGTACTTGCGTGTGCGTACGTGAAAGGATATGTGCGTTTTACCATTGTGATTAATTTATATATTGTAGCGCCGGTTTATACGTTGGTGAGCCGAATGATGAAGAATGATCGAAGGTGCTGTATCGACGCGGTTTCTCATTCGTTTCATTTTTACAAACGTTCAAATAATACGAGTTTTAGGCGCTATTATATTATTATTATTATTATATTATTTCGTAGCATTTTTACTATATACTTAATCGAGAAGAAGAAGAAAGAAAGAGAACCACGTCGTATTCAACTGCATTAAACAGATTAAATTAGACATCGAGGTGCATTTTGCTAAATCAAGAGAATCTAGAAAATGTGCCATGCATTAAGGATATTTTATACATCGTTGATGAATAAACGCACGCGCGTCACGGAATAAGCTACTTGTTGACATTATTCGCCTTCGACATAAGAAACAAAAAAGAAAGAAAGAAAGAAACAGTAAATGTAATTTTCCACCCGATATCGATGATACGCTCGCACGCGTCGAGTCGTAATGATTTAACGTCAGTGCGTCAGCGTGCTTCACTATGTTTTGCATTTATAAAAGCAGTCTTGATAATTGTATGTTTATTAGATTATACATATATTCACCAAATAAGAAAGAAAAAGACCCGCGTATTGCGCTATATTCTTAATCGTATCGCTAATTGAAGGCATATACGATGCGATATAGCGGCACTTTAGCAAAATGTAATTATACAAATATGACGTACTTGCGTTTATCGAGCATTTGGATTAAACAATCGCTGCCTACGGAGAACATTGTTATGTCGTCTGGCTTCATAAAAAAAATGGAGGTCACACACATGTTACGCATGTAATACATTTAGATTCTTGCGTTAATGCCTAAATTAATTGATAGATAAAAAAATAGATTAAACAGTCAATTGAAATTTTTACAAAAATTTTTTTTTTATGAACGATATTACAATAAATGAGTGTAGAAAGGAAAGATCTATAATAGTGCAGGGTGCTTTATAAATATTGTACGATATCAAATTTTATAATACGCAGTATGCCGTTTGATAAGAAGAACGAAATTGTGCGCCATTTCATCGAAGAGGAAAGTAAACGTGTAGACGCAAATTGGAGCAAATCGGAGTGGACCTCCACGAGTTATACCGCGAGTTGCACAGAAAATTACTTAGTTATATGATATTCGTTAACATTTTGTAATATTAGTAAAGAACTGAATCATCGCATTGCGTATGTACGATGATTAATACAATTGAGCTGCGACAGACATACTCTTTAAGCAACGAACGCTCTTGTTGTTTGTGAATACTGGCGCAAAGATGTTAACGGAAATATACTGTATAATATATTATGTACTTGATAATGAAACGAAGAATATGCAACAAACGATTTGTTATACATTTACGTAACACTCGTGTTTAAACGTGGACTAAGTGGAGAAAGTAAGTGAAGATTCTCGAGCCTGTAAAAACCTCACTCGCATGTTATGTAATAAAAACATTTCATACAATGATAATGTTTATATTGTTCTGCGAACATAAGATTTTCAACGTTTTTATTTCTCCGAACGAACACTGTTATCGACACAGCAACAAGATCAAATCGAGATCCTTCCATTATTTCATTTATTTTTGCGAAATTGTTGTGACTCTGGATAACTGTTTTTAGATGAAATTATTTTCTCTTGGGACATATTGTTGAAGTGCAGGATGATACGGTAGATTCGATATTTTTTCGTTCTTATCAAATATGCACTCGTACTTATCACCATGCATTTATCCATCGGAAACAGCGAGATTTTCAAAATATTCCAAGAAACTTTCCTGGCGGGCATGCGGGCAATTGACATGCCTTCTCCTCCATTTCAATTTCCGCATCGTCGCAATCGCGCAAACAATGTCTCCACCTGATCTGTCGGCCTTTGCCGCAAGTGACACTACAACTGCTCCAATCTGTCCACCTGTTCCACTTGCGAAGCCGTTTCCTCCTGCCTTGGGAATTTGCTCGTGTAATTCTCGAAGCGCTGGAGGGTATCTGGAAAGCTCTTTCTTCTACGGTGTCTGCCTGACGGTTGTTCGTTAAGCGCTCATGATTGTCGACATCTCTTACAAATTTAGATTTGTAATTCAAGTTTTCCGAAAGCCTCGGCACTCGATCCGACTGTTCACTGACACAAGAGCCCGTCGTCGTGTGTGGAGTTTCGCTATAGTTGCTCACATACATTTGTAATTCATTTACCTTAAAATGAATTATATAGAGAATACTATTTACACAATTTTCAATTGTCCTATTATAGTAGAATAATTAAATTAAATTCCTGAAATGATGAGATATCTGATGGACGAGAAGACTTTCCAGATAATTTTTTTCTTTTCTCGGAGTGATATGTATTTTTTGTTAAGACAAGTCTGGCCGATAAAATACGAAAATGTTAGCGCAAGTTACCTTAACGACTAATTTTTCAACAAGCTCTTTAATTTCTTCGATGGATCTCACAGCGCGATTACCACGAGCCTTTCTGTATATGGTTCTTTTGCGTTTAGTATCTCCTATTATTTGTCCAGTGTCCTTGAAATGCCTCGATTTTGTCGTATTTATATTGTTATGTAAGTAACGTTTGGACATAATTTCTTGATTTCTCTTTGTGCGATATTTCATATCCTCGTCTGCGAATTCAGCAAATTTTTTGTCCGTATGCTTATATTTATCGTCCTCCTTCTGGTTCTGATCGGTTCCCAACGAAATAAATTTAGTTGGATCGTCCATTTCCTTTTCCCTCTTTTCGGTGTAATTGAAACTTGGAGTAAGTTCAATATTTGTAACGGTGTTATTAATTTCGTCAATTGCCCCATATTGTGATCGAGTTGACATAATTGAAGAAGGACTGATTGTTATAGGATGATCTATCCAACTGTTGGTATTAATAAACGAAGACTCATTCGTAGGGATTTTTTCAATACGAACTCGCAATTCCGCTTTACCGGTGTGCACGAAAGGTAATACGACGATGTTCTCTTCTCGCTGTTCTTTAAGTCCATTATTGTTAAGTGACGATATTGAATCGCTCTGATTTATCAGTGTCTCGGACTTATCAGCTTCCATTCTTTCGTAATCGGTAGAACCAGTTTCAGCAATATTACTGCTATTCAAACTTCTATTCTCAGATTCCCTTTTCTTCATCTTAGACTCTGTCTGTGATTCGTTGATCCTGCTGGTACGAACATTGATTTCTGTATTTTTCCTTCTTTGCCCTGTAAACAATACAATAGAAACAGCAAGTGAGTTAAAAAACAAATTCGAATGTAATATTTAAAAACGAATATAATATTTATGTATTGAGTATTCATGACAGAAAGATGTGACATGTACCTGCATCTGTTTTCTTCCTGGGAAACTTACGGGATGATTTCAAGGTACCACGTTTTTTACCTCCGACTTCAGCTTTGATGCGATATTTCGGATGTCTAATATTTCCTTTCACACGTTTTCTATGTTGCCCATTTCTAGGCAAGACGCCTCTTTTGTGCCGTAAATACGTCCGATTACTTACATCGATTACTTCAGATTCAACTTTATGATTTGAATCGATGTAGGATTTAGACAGCAATTGGTCGAACGCAACGGTCGTACCGTTCTTGCTCCAGAAAAGTGGGAAGGAATCATTTGTAGATTCACTTCTTTTAACGCGAACATGATCGGCTAAATCCTGATTGCTCCTCATATCTTCCGTTATTTCTGGACCATTATAATCCAGCAAAGTTCTTTCGTTTTTCATTATATATTTATATGCACTTTTTGCTATCCGATCATTTTCAAATCGCGGAATTTCGTTTGAAGATGTCAACCTGATCAAATCATTTTTACGGAACGTTCCTTCTTTCCGAAAGTTTCTGGCGGAATTAGGCACCAATGTTTTCTTTTCTTCAAAATCTAAGTTTTACGTTTGTCGTATTAAGTGCTATTATTATAATTTTCCTTAAGTGCACAAGTAAGATAGGGAAACGATAAAAACAACAATGATAAAGATAAATACTTGAATGGTTCGTATTTTCTGTCACGTTTCTGGCATCTGAGAGAAGAAACATTAGGATCACCCAAATAGCCAAATAATAAGTTGATAATTTCAGCATAACACGACTCATTAATGACAGCGCTGAGCAGGATGGAATCGATATTTGTAATTTGTTATCATGAACGTTTTTACATTTATATATAGATAAAATAATTTGAGTGACATGGCACAAAATGTGTACGTCGTTATAATGCGAAGAAATATTGAACCTTCTCCTCTCTTCGTTATATCATTCGATCTCATCCACAAAAAAAAACAGGAATAAAATGACAAGGTTCATACCTATAGAAATGTTGATAACATAGAGATAATCATCAAAAAGGAGGAAATGGGCATCGACACAGCACAGATCAGAACCAGAAAACTATGGACATTACCTTTCGACGCTGTGCGTTCGCAAAATAGAAAATAGACATAAACGTCGCATGGTGGGTGTGTTAATTAAAAAGACGCTCATTGTGCATTCTGCCTTATTAATATTAATATATAATTTTTTATTGCATTTTTATAACAAAATTTAATTTAAACCATGTGTAATTACTATGTGATTTTCTGGAAGTTTTCTAAAAGTGTAGAAAAGCTAAACTTTGTATTTTAAAACTATTATTGAAAAATTTTATTTATTATAAAGATTTACTAATAAATAAATTTGCATGAATATGTTACCCATGCATAGAAGCACTGTTCCATATTTTTACCACATGACACCACTAAAGTCAATTTAGAATTTGCTTTTAGTTCCTATAGATCTTTAAATGTAAAACCAGAGAGAAGCCTGAGAGCGGCCACGCCGGCGTTTTTGGCGACATGCATTTGAATGAGAAATCGGTCCTCTCGGACGAGCGTCGAACGATTCGGTAATTCCCCGAGACTCGGAGAACTTTGATAGTAAAAGGCGGACGCAAGACTGGAAAGTGAGAGCGTGACTTCGCTTTATGGTTTGCGATCTAATAGTTCAGAGGGACTCGGGTTATCCCCATTAGACAAAAACACTTGGCGTACCCAGGATGCATAAAAACAAAAGTTGTAGAGAAGGTCGGTGAAACGCGTCGTTCTGAGGAGTTACTTGCGGTTGAATAAACTAGCCCAGAATTAAATAGCAATTATAGTACGTTTCGTCAAGTACGTAATTCTCGATACTGATTTACTCTCTCTCGTTTCTCTGCGAGAGAAAATGAACAATTAACACAAATCGCTTTTCTATCCGCGTACTTAGTTGAATAAACTAGCTCAGAGCTAAATAGCAATTATAACGTCTCGACGAATACGTGAATTAATTCCGCGACCTCGATTCCGCCTTGAAACACTGCGAGAGAGACAGTTTCCAGCGGCATAGTTTGACCGTAAACGCGACTCGCGTATTTGATTCCGAATCAAAGATACGAATGGTAAATTAGCGCGCCGAGAGCGACGCGTCGCGTCGCGCTAATCTAAGGACAATCGGCGGTATTATGCGGGCGCGGCTCGGTCGCGGGGAAACGCGTTTTGGATGATTGTCGAGGCACGGACGATACGTACGTGGCGTAAGGCCTGCTTCCGCGGCGCAGTAACAACAACGACAACGAAAAAGTAGTTTGCGCCAGATAACAAGAGATAATAATTCGGATAATAATTAGAAGAAGCAATTTTTTACAAAAATATGTATAGAAATGCATATGTACAGAAAAAGAATCATGTGCTGTTGAACGAGGTGTAAGTTTGTACGCGATGCCGTGTTTCTCAAACCCGCAATTATAGGCGTACCACAGACACGAACCGCCAGTAAATGGGCGTAGAACGGACACGCACCAAATAGGGACTTTACCGGCAGCGTCCGCAAATGGGCGTAATCAATGTAGTTCCCGGCTACAAATGGGCGCAGATGGCGTTAAGATCAGTCATCAAAATGCATGTCGCCAAAAACTCCGGCGTGGCCGCTTTCAGGCTTCACTCTGGTAAAACCATGAAGCTAACATATATAGTGACAGGTCAAAGTTTTGGAACACTGTTTTTCAAGGAATAATTGATAAAATAGAATGAGTGATGTTAATTTAAGATAAAAAATGTCAGCATATACATTGATCAATAAAAATATCTTTTTATAATTTAACTATTAGGTAACTATAGGTTGTTCGGAAAGTTCGTTTCAAATTTCGCGCGCTCCACATTTCTATGTAATCAGTAAGAACGAGGGCGCTCTAAATGATTTTATGTTTGTCAACAAACATTCCCGGATCTGTGAGCCCGCTAAGGAAACTTCGCAGATCTTCCTAAGTGCAACTATTTCGTCAGAAATCAGTTTGAAAAATGGAGAACCAAAAAGTCCATTTTCGTCATGTGATGCTATATTGCTTTAAACGTGGCTTCACGGCTTCGCAGACCCTGAATGAAATGTTCTCAGTATATGGAGATGCCTGCGTCACTCACCAGACAGTTCGAAAATGGTATCGAAGATTCGAAGCTGGCGATTTCAACATGGAAGATCAAGCTCGCTCAGGCCGGCCTCAGGAGGTTGATGAAACGCTTCTTATGGATCTCGTGCACGAAAATCCTCGAGTGACAGTTAGAGAACTCGCCGACACTCTGCACAAGTCTGTTTCCACCGTGCATTACCATCTGAAGAAGCTAGGATTCTCAAGTCGACTGGATGTGTGGGTGCGACACGAAATGAATGAACGGCAGTTGCTGGAACGCGCGAACGTCTGCGATATGCTGTTTCAACGGCACCAAAAAGAACCGTTCTTGAAGAGGATCATAACAGGCAATGAAAGTTGGATCCTATACAATTATATTAGCCGCAAGAGGTCGTGGGGAACCAGCGACGCGTCTACGCAAACAGTGGCCAAGCCGGGGCTTCATGCGAAAAAGGTTCTTCTGAGTATCTGGTGGGATTTTAAGGGCGTGGTATATTATGAGCTTCTTCAACCAAACGAAACCATCAACGCGGCGAAGTACAGCCTTCAACTGGACGAACTGAAGACTGCCATCGCACGGAAGCGCCCTGAATTGGCCAACAGGCGTGGAATTGTTTTCCATCATGATAACGCCAGACCTTACGTCGCAATGTCTATCCGTAGGAAGCTGTTAGACTTCGAATGGGACGTTCTTCCTCATTCTTCATATTCTCCCGACCTTGCCCCATCTGACTACTATCTATTTCTTTCTTTAAAAAATTTTCTTCGGGACAAGAAATTCGAGTCTTTGAAAGTCCTCAAAAGTCATCTTAATAAATTCTTCGCCAATAAGAAACCTTTATTTTGGAGCAAAGGCATCATGCAGCTTCCTGAAAGATGGGCCAAGGTCGTTGAACAAAACGGTACATATTTGCTTCAATAAAGTTCCTCTTTGTGCAAAATATTGCGCTCTTAATTTATTTCAAAAATTTGAAACGAACTTTCCGAACAACCTATTTTCATAATATAGAAAGAAACCCAACCCTTGAATAATGTAACATTACACTAATATAATATATCCAGTATGAAAATTTTTAACTGCAATGATAAATTGTATCATAATAAAAATAAAAGTTATACAATTGAATGAAACAAAAGAATGACCATTATATAATTTTTTATTATAAAACATTTTTATTATAAAACATTATATAATGTTTTATAATACAGGAATATCAGGAAAGTGCAGTGAATTTAAATAATTGCAATTACATACAAACAAGGAAAGACAAAAAAAAAATATATATATATATATATATTTGCAAATATAAATTTATACAATTTCAACTGTGGCACCAACCTTCATTAGAGACTCTTTTAATTTCTCTGCTTCATCTTTTGATATATCAGCCTGTACTATTGCAGGAACATTTTCAATAAACTTTTTGGCCTATTTTAATAAAACTTAAGATAAAGTTTCTTATAAGAAAGTATATTATTTAACATTAAATATTAATTAGTCAATACCTGAACAAGATTTGTATCTGGCAATAGATTCTTCACTTCTTTGATCAAGGCTATCTTCTGTTTATCATCAAAACTTAGCAACTTAACAGTGAATGATGTTTGTACCTTTGTTGGTTCTTCTGATTCCTAAAAACACAAATTAATCATGATGATGATAATAATAACAATTAATCAATGTGTCGAAATTGTTTTTAATCATCTTTCTATATTAAATTGCTTCTAAAGTGAAATATGAAGAGTAGAAGCAAATATATATATATATATATAATGTAACAAATACTTTGACATCCTTATTACAACAAATTACCTCTACTGGCATAGCTGCATATCCTCCCATAGGCATAACAGGTGCATCTGAGAGATTGAGTCGTTTCTTTAATAGATCACTAAGTTCTGCTACTTCTATTAAATTGAGAGCAGTGATGTCGTTGGCTATTTTATCGATTTTCGGATTGACCATGTTGTCGACATTTGACACCGGTGCAGTTTGCACTGTACTCGTCGCCGCATTTGCTTCCGCTTGTTGAACTACGCTAGATACGATCAACACATAATTGTTTAAATAAAATATCTAATGCAAGTGAGGTTATGTAAGCTGGAGATTTGCAAGTATACAACGCGTTCGAAATTTCTCAACCTTACCATTTGTGAAATCGACGAAACTGACAAAGCCTCTGTCGGGATACCAAACGAAACATGTTCATCATTTGGAATCGATTATGAATATATTTATGACAGCGTCAAGTATACAATTATTAAGGACCGGTAGGAGAGTAAGCACCTGGCACATAAACGTAGTCTTAAGCTGGTTGCACACAGGACACGACAACGCTTGCCGCATTCTGTGTGCAACCGGCTTTAATAGACCTGTTCGTTTTGTCTGCATTGCTGAACTGGTGCGTTAAGTTAAAGTGAGACAAACGTAGGTTTTCTCACTTCAACTTGGTGCACCAGTTCAGCAGTGCAGACAAAACGAACAGGTCTAATGTCTCGTTGGTGGACATGGTTAACCGAAATACAAATGGTGCAAATGTCATGTTATCTTTAGCGTAGCTACGATACGTAAAACTGATTTTTAATACAAATGTCTATAAAACGTGTAAGAAGAGTCTGAAAGACACCTTACTAAACTTTATTTTTTAACTTACCCACTGTTATTTTTAACCAACAAATTTCGCGCGAATTTTACTTACCAACAAATTTATTTTTAAATTACTTAATTTTCTACTGAAAGACAAGTTTTATTTCAATATATATGTAAAGTAAAATAAAAATGAAGGAAATTTGCGCACAAGTCTCTTTTAGAGTTAATATACCTAATATTAAATATAACATACATACATTAATGCTGAAATAGCAAATTATAAATTTTTTTTAGTGATGTATATATATATGTATATACACACACATATATATATATATATGTATGTATATCACTCAGTCTGGTAGAGTATTGGGATTGTATTATTTGCAGTAAAATAACAGGAGGTGATTGATAACGAAAATAAGACTTTATAAAAAAATGTTCGTAAAATACATGTATGATAAAACATTAAATTTCTTTTTATGTCTTCTCAAGAATATAATATATATATGTATGTATGTATGTGAGTGTGTTATATATACTTTAACATAATATATGTATTCTATATTATCAGTATTTCACAGTTTCTTAAAGATAAATTTACATTACATCACAAGTTAGTTTCACTTGCGCATAAATGATTTGCAAATAATCTGAACTTTCGAATTCTAACAGAAGAAATTTTCGAGTTAACAGATGACTGTTATCACGCGAATTTCACGTCGTCTCAAAGTTCAGAACAAGAATTATTAGGCAAAATTTATTTGAGAATAACAATTACATTCGAGAAGCGTAACGGGCACATTTGTCTACGAATGAACATTTACGCTAAAGAAAGTCTTAGCGTAAGATTTGTTTTTGTCATTGCCGTATTCGATTTTATTTCTATATATTTGAAACATTTCCACCTACCACATTACACTTCTTGTGGTAATAAATGCGTGCGTCACTCTCATCCAGTGAACTCTTTTTTTTCAGTCTGATAATAAATAATATATTAGTCAGTATATTATTTTAATTTTCCGACGTTAATGCGCATATAATCTCCATAAATCACGAAATTTTATTACCTATAAATCTACATAGTAAAAAAAGTATAGGGATGTATATGGAAAAGTTTCAAGGAGAATGTTTTCATAAAATATTCGCTCGCGCTTCAAACTTTAAATCCGACCCTTATAACGAAGTTGTCTGCTCATTCATGATTCACTGCGGCCACACGGAATTTTTCCTATTTGTTATAAATTTGTAGTCTTTTCTATCTACTAACGCATTATGTCGCAAAATAATTATGTAATACGTAATCACTGTATATAATATACAGCATAAATAATTACCTACTATAATTATGATTATTTCGTGAAATTTCTGTGAAAGTTGCATGATATAAGAAAAATTGTAAAAGATTTGGTAAAGATTTATATGATATGATCGATGTCATATGTTATCAGAAGCTACTTCTTCAATAGTAGCTCTACACATTGGACACTCAATCAGCTGTTTCGAACACGTTTGGCAAAACCCTCTGCGGAAATAAATCGATTATTCGTATCGTATTCATATGTAATACTTGCTGCTGTGTTATTTTCATTTAGAATTATGTTACCTGTGGTCACACGGCAGTAACCTCACCGATGCCCTTTGATCGAAGCATAATGTACAGGAATCTTCTCTAACACTAAGTCTTCGCAATTGGTCTAGGTATATATGTCTGGGAAGTACAATTTTGTCTTCTGGTTTTAATGTAGCATAGTCGTTAAACTTCTGAAATTCTCGATCAGTAGGTGGATATTTAAAAGGTGCATTTCCAAAGTTAAAAAGGCATTGCTGGAATGACATGAAACTAGCTGCTGCAAAGAATCCAGACCTACAACATTCCAATAAAGTCGCAAATTGTTTCGTTTGTATATATATATATATATATATATAGCTCTTTTACCGATGTTTTCATAAGATTATAATATACATATACGTACCTTACTGTTTTAAATACCTGGATGCACGGTTTAAGCGGTACACCGTTAATGGAAAATATTATCTCTAATTTATTTAAATCCAATAAGCAACCCAAGATATCACCAGATTTCCAACATGGTCTGTCGTGAAATTTTTCACTTCGCGCATTATACCAAATCAGTCTACGACAGCCATCATAGGCCAAGGAAAATTCATCATCTCCTATGCCATATCCCTCCTAATATTAAAAGACAGAGAAAGTCGAGTTATGCCTTCATATGAAGACGATTGAAATGTTTGGAAAATGCATAATAATAAATTAATGTTATATGATACGTTTATTATATATAATCTCTTTTAACAACAGATAGAAAATTGCCTAAATTATAGACGGAATTGCTTACGTGATTCAGAAACGTGCTGTCTTTTGTGGCCCATCCAATTTGCATCACTCCTGTGGTTATTATTAACGTTTCATAATACCATATTCCCGAATCTACTTGAAACGTACACCGTACACTTTCAAAAGAGTATGCATCACATCGCGCCTATAAAATGACAATAGATTACAAGCTGCTTGAATAAGGATAAATAATATAATACCATGGTATATTTACCTCTAAACCATCAGGTGATATTTTCAGGTACTCACTTACATCCTTCGTATTTAACATTACATTAATACCAGTCACGTCGACCGAGTCATGGGAATACTTTCTACCTTCCATTAAAACTGAACAGGATAAAGATCGATATTGAATATGTTATCGTTCATGCAAAATAGTGTAGCTAAATTAGAGGATTTTTGGTAGAGTTATTATACTTACATAGGTTATCTAAACACCATTGTGCACAGAAACCAACTTGACGTCGCACATAATGTGTTTCTGTAGCCCATTTCTCCAATTCAAGTAGTGGATTTTGTTTCTCTACCATGAGACGTTTTTTGATAGTTACTTTATTTTCACCTGTTGATACATAACATGTGTTATGCACATTTAAAAGAAGCGTCAAAAGGAATATGTCTGTATGTTCATATATTTATTATCAAATTAATATTCTACTCACTTGTCTGTGCAAACTTCTCTAATGCTATTAAAGAATATAACACTACATAAGGCTCGATATCCTCTCGCTGAAAAATAAAATCACATTGAAAAGTTACTTGACAAATATAAATACTACCAAATATCTGAGCTAATTTAATAAAATGACATACCAAGTTTGAAACAAGGTAGTCTAAAGTGGCATCGGATAAAATCGCTATACTACTAGGACCAGCCAGTTTCTCTGCAATACAACCAAGTACTACGCATATGTTGCGTTGTTGGGTGGCTGTAATTTGTATCTTTCCAAGTCTTTGTGACAATTGAAACATGTGTGATAATCTTAACACAGAGTCCTACAATAACACAAAATAAAGTATTACTGCTAATTTCACTATGATTGTTGTTTGGTATCAATCATTCTTTGAGATTTTAAGAATTTAGTTAGTAAGTTCCAACCTTTGAAGGTAAAGGGCAATCATCTAATAATAATATTATAACAGAAGGGCCTAACGGATTGTGCATTGGAATAACATTGACCATAGAACTAACTACTTGTATCCAACCATCTTCTTTATCAGCAATGGCATTTAATTTTAACATTGCTGGTGGTGGCTCATGATCACTAAACATATGTAAACAAATATTTATTAGATAAAACAGTAGTAGACATACTGAGCTGTATTACATACATTGATATATTATATATTATACTTTTTTACTTACTTATCCACCAGAGTATCCAGACTTCCCAATGTTTCTAATACAAGCTTATCAATATTTGCTGATGTTGGGAACTTAAAAGAAGGAGATGCTGAGTCACTAGATGAAACCATACTTATGCTTGGTTCTGGTAGTATTGTATTTTGACCTTCCGCATGATCATTACTACCATATGTCTCTAGTTCGTCTGGAGTATCTTTACACAAACAATTGCCCATTCCCACAAATATTTTTTTATAATTCCTTCAACAAATTATTGCCTGACTACCATCTAGGTTACATTTACAGAACAATGATACAAATGGACCATCAAATCTTGCATTTGACTAGGCTAAAAATAAGATTTAAATAATAAATCCCGTTTTACACAATATACATATAAATTTCATATTACTTACCAGACAGGTGATATCATGATAAGTCATATCCCTTTATCATATATAGATGATATTATTATAGATGTCCTTTACTACTTATTTATTTCATGTCACTTTAACATTCCATATTTAAATGCAGATTAAACGCAATGTATAGATCTTCTTTAAGTCTTAATTATTAAAACTTGCTCCGTAGCATGCAACTATATTTAATCATTCATCCATCATCCGTTTTAATCTATCAAAAATACAAAAATTAAAAATTGCAAAAATTAAATTAAATAAGGATAAAATGTTTCATAAAAATACCAATTGATATTATTGGTGGATTTGATGCTACACAAATATTCTTGCAAGAAAAATGTGGAAATGTATTGAGTGAGTTTTAGTTTAAAAGTTTAAGAGAAATGGTTTCTAGCAAATAGCAATTTTTTTACAATTACATATCTACAAATATCTTTAGTACTCGATCAAAACATATAATTAGAATGTCGCATCTTGAGGTTATGTTCTCGATACTCTCTCAGAAAGGTAATTTTACCACCCAGAAGGACGCGAAACATACAGCTTGGTTAATCTGATATTACTTTGTCAATCTCGCATTTGGCAGAAGAAAATATTTTCTGTCCATTCTTCCACGCAGAGCATTCACAGCGATCCTTTCTTGATCTTAACGTGACACGTTACCGAATTATAGTCTGCAGTGCATATACTTGCGTAGATCGTGCCGTATCGCTCTGCGTCCTGTGTGAGACGCACGCGTATGTACACGATCGACGAAACCACCGACGAGATACTATAAAGACTGTTGGCCTTACGGGATTTAGCGTACCAGAAAAATTTCGCTGTGCACTAGCGCCCTCTTAGGAATATTGTGGTCGAAATATGAAACATAGTTCGAAATAAGCATGGGTGGTAACAGATATGGAATAAGATAGAGAAAAGATATCGGAAGATATCAAAGACTATTAATACAGAAAACAGGCCGACTATGGCTGCGTTCCGAAATTCACTGCCAGTACTGAAAATACATAGTTTGTGTTACGTATACTATAGAATTTCAGTGCTGGCAGTGAATATCGGAACGCAGCCTACGTATGTGTGTATGCTCTTAGGATTGCTAGGGATTGCTTAGGATTGTCCGCGCGGCCTCGAAATATTTCTTCCCGAATTGCGGGTAATGCGTTGCATGAATGATGAGAAGGAGAAGGCGAAGGGACAAGACGGGAGAGAGTCTAGTTTAGCGAGAAGATCTGCCGCTGACTCGCCTCGTGATATGTTTCGATTTTTACAAATTTATATAAAACTTTTCATTTTTCACCAATTCACAGAAGTCGTTCACTTTTCACTAGTTCACGCTAGGGAAAAGATTCATGATCGTTGCCCAGACCTAGTGATGGTTTAATACCCGTATTCATAGTCAGGCCTTATATTTGAGGCCTCCTTATATCCATCTTTAGATGCTGCACGGATTATTTTATTGGCTACAGACCATCTGAAGATAAACTCAAGGAAGCCTTAAATACAAGGCCTGACTATGAATACGGGTGTAAGGTTTACTAATCTTATAACTAAAGCCAACGGCACACGGTGCTTGTTTCCGTGCTGGATTGCTTGCTGGATGAAAATACTGCGTTCTGATTGGTGCATTTCCATCCATCTTCGGAAAAGTACCAATCAGAACGCAGTATTTTCATCCAGCAAGCAATCCAGCACGAAAACAAGCACCGTGTGCCACTGGTTTAAAACAGGCTTCTCTCTGCTAAATTCTTAAATGACCTAGGAATTAGTATAGAAATTTACAGTGGTAGTAGAAGTAGTATGATTTAACAGTGAAGTCAGCCATAGAACTTAATTTTTCAAAAAGTAGTCTTACTTAACGACAAATTAGATGTTTTACTCTTCTATCTCTTAACGTTATCTATGAAAAATAAGCGAAATTTATCAGGCGAAATTTTTTATGTATTAAATTATATGAATATTAAATTTATAATATTATTACTGCTATTTATTTATTACTGAGATATATTTAATTAAATAAGATAATAACTGATTAAATTTTAAGTTCAATTTTTAGTTGTTTTTATATTGTAAACTTGTACTATAAATATGATAACATACTATAAATATGATAAGTTTAAAAGATGAAACTTTAAGCTTTCTATTTGTTTTTTAACGCGCTTATTCATTTCTTGATTTTTTATGAGTGTCAAAACCAAAAAGATAGTTTTTGTTTCAATTATAAATAATTTCACAAAAAAATCTGATTAATTGATCATTATAAATTATTTTACAATTTTATTGATACTAAAAAATTGATACTTTTTTAAATTAATTTTTTGAAAGTCAATTATTTTCTTCTATATCGTCTATTTTTATTTAATAGTTTTTAGTCACACACAGATTACCATTGTTATTATTTATCATGGTTATATTCACGGCAAAGTTTATTTCACGCACATCTGTGTAAACAAGCGACTTTTTCAATTCTTGTAAATAGACGGAGGAAGTCTGTTCAATAGAATTAGAGCGCGATTACAAATAGACTAGGATTTGTACATATACAGATGTTTGCATAATATTGCTTTGGCGTGACATTTTAATTGTCAAACATCTCTGCGACATAATGTTTGCGATAAATCTTTTCACAACGAACACACGAATGCATCTGCATTAAAACGACGCGTATGCGTGACGCCAGCAATATATATATAGAATTTCACAAGGTGACGTACATCGTCCGCGAAATGTTCCGCTTTCGTTGTTAAATATACACATGACGTGTACCTCATTTATACATATACAAACCCGCTGACCTTTAACGTATCTCCGCGCGATACATTTGTCTGTCATTGGTAAGGAACTCTCTTATACAAAGTTCGCGCGGTTTCGCGGTCGGAGTTATCACTCGCGCGATAACTCACTTCGATAATCGAAGTCGCGTGCCGTACTCGCGGCATACGTCTAGCACTTTCAAGACAAACTCCGCGAAACACGCAGCGTAGACGTTTGATTTTTGAATTCAGCAGCGGCACGGCACGAAGTAGTAAATCGCTTTTTTCGAGACAAATCGAAGCTTCGAGTAAACGAGACGAGCGTGCTACCGCGCGCCACCCCGGTACTTTCTTTCCAGGGAACGCGTAATGCTATCACATGGGGAAGACCGAAGTGTCAACGATCAATAGTATTACGAAAATGACTTGGTGATTCATGTGCCGAGAGTTTCGCGCGAGTCATGGTGTCTGGGGAGAACGAGAGGCTGCTGCCCGAGCCTGAGAATTATGCCAAATGTTTTTACGATCTCTTCAAAAACGTCGCCGAGGCGCAAAGGTGCGACTTAAAATGTTGACGTATAACCTCCAACGAGCTTTGTTTACTTGACGCTTTTGGTGGTGACTACGCCGCCGATTCATTCCGGTCGTCATTGACCGGTTGATGATCAGCCTAAGCGAAATGACTCGCTGCCTCGCTCAATGAAATCTTTAATTAACAGCCTGGCGTGCTGATTATACACTTGTTCGCTCGTCCTAACGACGTTTAGGACGTTAACCTCAAATTTTGTTTATTAATGATAATTTGGTTGTGTGTAAAGTCATCTTAACTGAATAATTTGAACGGTTTACGTATGCCTTTGGTTGTCAACGAAATTATCGTATTTATTTGCTGTATTAAAACTTATATTTATATATTTTACTTAGATTTGTAGAAAATTATATTAAAATATTTATATACAAACACATGCATGTACATGTATTGTTCGGTATATTATGTTATACCTTCTAGGAATAAAGGAGAATGGAGGAAATGTAAAAGAAATAAGAGTATTCGTAAACGAGACAAGAAAAAGGTATTAACAACCATAGTTCTTTTGTTTTCTATAATCTTTTGGATAAATAGATTTTAATATTTACTTCATGCATTTGTTTCATATATACAGATTGACTTAAATGGGGACTTGAATTATAACAATCCTCCAGAGATAGAAACATCTTGTAATGCCTCAGCATTTGCTGTGTTTGCTAGTGTGAGACACGCTATTTTAGAGAAACATGCAAAAACATCGAGTGAGATTTATAGATCAAACTGTAACTCTCCACCAACAGAACTTAGCGACACCATAGATACAGACAGTGATGATGAAGATAGGATATCTACTATACAAAATTTACCCAAGGTAAGAAATATCTTGCGTTTACTTTTACTCGCTGTATATGGCCTCTTGTGATTGTATATATCCTTACAACACAGTTATAAAATCTTCTAAAATCTTTATCAATTAGATTGTAGGTATTGGTTTAAGAAGTGTTTTTACATTGATGCGAGAAAGTAGAACAATCGATCCAGTCTTGTGTACAAAAGCATTGTCAGCTCTATTGGATGTTTTACAAGGGCAATTACCTGAAGGTCTCAAGTCCGAGCCAGATGATGTTATTGGTGTGTAATTTTGAATATCAATCTTCGATACGATCTTAGATTTGATTGATATATTTGAAGCATTCTCATTTAACAATTTACTTTTTGCAGATCCACTATTCGACCTGTTATTGGATCTCGCAACATCTCACGGTCCTGAGTCAGCCGCTGCCAATGATGGCAGTCACTTGACAGCTGTCGCTTGCGCATGTCTGTTGAGTCTTGTTGTGGTGAGAGGCGATACCGGGCGTTTACTGGCGGCGATAGCTGCTCTACTTATGTCTCCAAGAGCATTAGCGGTACAAAATATTCAGGTATCTTGCTACAAATATTGTTTTACTGCTTAATATTATACCTGCAGTATGCTATAAAGTTTGAATTTCAGATGCCATGTGTGTTAACGTCTCTGCAGAGAAGTGTTCATGCTGTTTTGTTAGGTAAACTTGTAAGACCAGATTGGATTACGTACGGAGTTCCTAAGTGTTCCAAGATATATACCTCTACGCTTAAGTTATCAAGTGAGATGAACAATATGGTTTTGAACGAGCGAAGCTTTGTAAGCGATGGAAAATACTTGTATCTGCACACGACTCGTGGTTTACTGAAAATTGGAAGCGGCCATGGTGGTACAATATGGGGGCATATATATATACATAAAGCAGACTTTTATCCAACAGAAACAGGATGGCTTGGCTATGCAAATGTTGGTTTCGCACGAATGCTTGAGATTGCACAATGATAAAATAAATGGGATGTTACTTATACAAGGTTTCGTTTGCAGAATTCATTGTATTTTAAATGCGCACCTAGAAAACAGAGAGAATTATTAATTATTGACGCGGAAACACTCGTGGTAACAGGAATCGCTGTATTGGAAGGGAAAGATTGGTCATCATCAGTCATGTTCTCCGATGGTGAAAATCTGGGCATGATAACAGCGGGCAAAGATGTAATTATTGCAATCTTATGAAAGACTGTACTGTGCACTACTGTCTTTGATATGTTTATGCAATCAGTTTTCTATTTTTGCCAAACAGGAAGGCTTTGTAGTACGTACAATAAATACATTAAGCAATCCTGTAACGGTTACCTCTGAACTACCATTGAAATTAGCGAGAAAATGCGTAGATATATTTGGATACGCGTCATTCGACGAAGAGCAATCGGTACATACTTTATCGGTACATACTTTGAACTCAGGATGTGACGATGAAATCACGATGATTACAGCGGGGAAAGAATTTGGATTATTAAAAATGTTATCTGGAAAGGTGAGTTTTCGGTGCGAGAACATTTTTCAATTGCTGTTGAGTAAACACTCGATGCTCGATGTACTCAGCATTATATTGCGTATGATTTACCTGATCTGCTCTATTAAAAAAAAAAAAACACGTTACCTTTCATAGTTATTATATAGCGGAAAAGGCACTTGTCTTGGTATGAAGACGAATACGAGGCCTAACAATTGGCTCGACTTTACCTTCGGTAAAGGTCCAAGGGTTACGCATTTTGCGGTGGGTCACGATGGACAACATGTCGTGATGGTCATGGAAGACGGCTCTGTGCTTTTCGCTGGTACTGCTAGGCGCGGAGAGGATGGAGACAGCAGTGAGTTCTTTGCATATACTTCGTTTCGTTTACAACACATTCAAATATTTATACTTTCAATACTCAAAACACACCAATCTGATTTCAGATAAAGTTCGTAGACAACCAAAACCGGTAAAACCAAAGAAAATGGCGAAAGTGGAAGGCCAGTTTATCGTAGACGCTGCTTGCAACAATGGATCCACCGCTCTGGTCACACGAGACGGATCTCTATTGATGTTCGGCAAGGATACGCTGCATAGCGACGCAGTTACAGGATTAGTTACCGATCTGAGGGAAGTGTGCGTGGTTCGCGTGTCGTTAGGAAAAGCTCATGCCGCCGTGTTAACTAACAAAGGCCACCTGTACACCTTCGGTATAAATAACAAGGGACAATGCGGCCGCGATTCAGCGACGGTGCACACAGTTAACAAGGAGATGTCGGTGGTCGCGATGGAAATGGGCACGGGGGAAGACGAACTCATAGTAGCGGAAGAGGAGAGCGTGAATTATATGAATTGGGAAGAGACGCGAGGCATGTGCCCGCCGGGGCAGCATCAATGGCGGCATCGCGTCTGTATGGTTTGCACGATATGCAGAGAATGCACCGGTTACAGTATCTCGTGCTTGAGCAGCATACGTCCTGACCGGTATCCCGGCCAAGAGTGCGGATGTGGCGAAGGGGACAGCGGATGCGCAGAGTGCGGTTGTTGCCGCACGTGCGCGAGAAAGAGCTGCAGCAACGGTATATCGCGCTCGAATCTACGGGAGTATTTACAGCGACGACTAGGTGAGATAAAAGAGTGGCAACGGTGTAAAGCCGGACCGAGTACCGTGAAGTACTGCATGAAAATCAAAGGATCGAACAATCAGCAGCGCGCGGCCGGCTCGAGCATCGCGCAGAAGGGATTTCCGGACAAAGTGGCGTCGGGGGGCTTGGGTAACCTCGTGACCGAGGAGACCGTCGGCGGTAGCGACGTGGAGAGAGGAGACGCTGCGAGGATCGCCAGCATATCACCGGCGAGGGTTCTCGTGCCCAACGAGAGCCCTGTGATCCAAGTGTCCTGCGGTCTGCACCACACGGTGCTGCTTCTGCAAAATGGCGAGGTGTACACTTTCGGTAGTAATATATACGGTCAGTTGGGTGTCGGAGACTTGGTGGCGCACTCGGGACCAGTTCAAGTAAAACTACCTACCATCGCTACCCAGGTCGCAGCCGGGAGCAATCATACCGTCATACTCACGTCGAAGGGTGAGGTTTACACGTCCGGTGCATATCAGAAAGGACAGCTCGGCATGAACTGGTGGAACGGTCAGAATGAGTCCACCAATAGCAACTCTCAGATGAATCGTCGCTCCGACCGGTCTCAGCCGTGGCACAGTTTCCCGAACGTAGTACCGAATATCGGGCCCCGATGGGGCAGACGAGCCACGTGGATCGGTGCAGCTGGCGATCAAACGTACGTCAAAATAGACGAGATCAATTCCATCAGCTTGACCAGAAGCACCGTCATGGCGAATAAGAACTGCATTATCCTGATCCCTCATCATAACGAGCACGTCAATTCCTTCAAGAGTCTGGTGATAAGTAAACGCGACGGTACCTGCAACAGTTACAGCAGTGCGGACCAAGTAGACTTCGGCAATTGCGCAGCGTGCCTGGATCCTCTGTACAATGTCATCTGGACTTTTAATTCGACGAATAATGAGATCAGCTTGTACAACATAATATCAACGGAAGCTAAGACGATACCGGGCTTGGAAGCTTCCATACTCAATCCAGGCTTGGCGCTTCCGGTCGTTCCTACCTGCTTCGTTACTCGCTCTCAAGCCGCGATGCACTTGCTAGCTTGTCTAGATACCCTGACGCAGGCCCAAGACGAGAACCTGTCGATAGTCGAGGAGAACGAGTGCAATCAATCGCCACACAGCAAGGTCTACAGTCGCGAGGACTTCGCCACGGTCAGTAGATTCGAGAGTCACGGTGGAGGATGGGGTTATTCACCTCACTCGATCGAAGCGATCCGTTTCATGCCTGACACGGATATTCTGTTGGGAGGATACGGATTGTTTGGCGGTCGTGGGGAGTACACAGCGAAGATAAAGCTCTTCGACATTGGCATCGATGGCGGGGATCAAGAAAACGATGGCGAACTTCTCGCGGAGACGGAAGAGATCCCTTATGAGTGCGGCCCGAGGCAGAAGTACTCGATCTTGTTTGACGAACCTGTAGCTCTGCAGGCGAACAGGTGGTATGTGGCCTGGGTCAAGGTCAGCGGACCTTCCAGCGACTGTGGTTCCGGCGGGCAGGGAATGGTCACTGCTGAGGACCAAGTGATGTTTTACTTCAAATCATCTAAGAGATCCAACAACGGCACCGACGTCAATGCCGGTCAGATCCCGCAGCTGCTGTACCGCGTCATTACGCATGAGAATCAGACGTCGAACAGACAGAGAGACCAGGTCGAGCCGGTCTACGTGCTGAAGAGGGAATTTAGTAGGACCGTGACGAAGGAGTGCTTCCAGTCGTTAATATCTCTCCTGCAGTGGAGCTGGAACACTTTGAAAGCAGGTTTAGCCGACGCGACCGCGTCCTCGACTCATGCGCTACTCGAGATGGAGCGCCTGGTGTACATAAGCAAGGCCAGTTTGCGACTGATCAGAACGTACACCAACGAAATCTACCCCAATCACGCCGTTAGGAAGGTTCCTCTCGAGTCGGTGCGCTTGGCGGAATGCATAGGCGAAGTGCGGGCGTTGCTGCGCCAAATCTTATCGGACTCTTTACCCTTCACCCTGAAGAACAAGGGTAAGACACGATCCAATAAAGGTTCTGGGGGAATTATGGGTAACAAAATGGCGAGCACCATTTTAGACGAGTGTCACAAGACCTTCGTATCTTGTTATCACGCGTTTTATCCCACCGCCTATCTCAAATGGACCTCCTTGTGCGAGCTATTATCGGAGATCGACAAGGAGCAAGGCACAACTACGAAGGATCGTCTTCTTTCCGCCGTGTTGGCCTCTTTGTGCAATTCCGCGATACGACTGAGGTGTACGTTCCCGATTTTGAGCAACATCACGGACAGCAGCAGCGATAGCGTCAAACGACAACTTAGTCCGTCCGATAATGCCGGTTTGCTCATGGCAAATTCCACGGAAACTCACCAGTACCCGATCCTGGTCGAACAGATCAGCCACAAGTCCCAAGTGGAGAGCTCTGGCAAGGAGATGCTGAACTGGTCGTTTCGCGAGGTGCTCGACAGGCTGTTGGATTTAATATTGATACCGATCAAGAGGAGTCTCTGCAGGGAGAAGAGCCAGTCTCTGCCGGAATTGGTTCTCCATTGCTGTTACTTATTAGCGCGAGTCATCGCGGAATTGGCCGCGCAGTCGAGCGGCAACGAGGACGAATTGCAGGCGGCCTGCGGCAGGCTCATGTACACTACACCCTCGAGGTTCACGCGCACGAATCAGTCGAGATCGTGGAACACCGGTAATGGATCTCCGGACGCCATTTGCTTTTCCGTCGACAGGCCGGGTATCGTCATTGCCGGGGTTGGTATTTACGGAGGCGCGGGGGTGTACGACTACGAGCTGGAGCTATTAGACGATGTAAGTAACTCCTTCATCCACCGTTTGTCGTCGTTGTCGCTGTTGTGAGCTTTGATTCCATAATGCCGACTACCTTTGTATTTTTTATTTTCCTACCAGCAAAACAACACCGGCAACGATCCGTCACATACTCAACGTTGGAGTAGCTTAGACTTCACGAGGGGAACCTTTGGACCGGACGATTGCGCCAACGATATAGTGGAGTTAAAGTTTGACAAGCCGGTGCTCATAAAAGAAAATGTGAAGTATGCTATTAGATTGCGAAATCGTGGCGGACGGACCAGCAACGGCGACGGCGGCTTGAGCGTCGTCAAAGGGGCGGACGGTACAACGTTTACCTTTACGGCTTGTTCCTTAAGCTTCAACGGTAAGTTTCAGATTTGTATCGAGTTCGAGGCGTACTCGAGGCAGAGATAACTCGTGGTAACGCGTCGATTTTACTTTATCTAATACATCAATTCACTGCATTATCGTTACCGCAGGTACCACACAAACTAGAGGTCAGATACCACATATCCTATATTATTCAAATCCACAAAATTCCGACGGGCAACATACGAACAAAGCGATGGCGGAAGTGCAAGCGAGAAAGTGCACTCTCGCCATGACCTCAACGATCATCCAACGGTCGAACGAGATCTTCTCTCTGGCGAGGGAGAGAGCGGAGGAAGTAATAGCCAATGAAGTTCTTAGTAACGCGACCTTCGTAACGACTCTCTTGCCGTTGGTCATGACGCACATTAGCCCCTTAGCCACATCGGATCCCAGAGTAAGTAATTTTCAAGGATTTTGCATAAGCACGTGTTTTGCACGTGCGACGGAGAGGTGTAGGGGATAGGATGAGAATGAAACGAAAGAATTCAATATTTTATATTTTTTATTTTTATATTTTATATTTTTTGAAGGAATTTAATGCAAACTTCATTTTTTTCTGCTCTTTCAGAGCAGCGTGCAAATCCTTACTCTGATACAGGAGATGTTGCCACACATAGCAGCTTTGAACTTGTTGTCTGCAATGGGAACTTCTCAAATATCTCAAGACAGTGAAACTCAATCACACTTTGCTCCTCCGGTTACTACTAGTCACCATTACACTTGGCTGGAGAGCGATCATCCTTATAAACCGGCTACAGTGTCGTATTACAAAGTCACCTTCCCGGAGACAGTCAAGTGGCTAACTGTCGAATTCACCGCAGAATGCGGTACATCGCAACCGGAGGATTATTTGCAACTGTATATACCAAATGTCATTCCCAATTCCTCCGCCGGGTAAGACGCAGTACCTCTACGAATTACGAATTAATATTTAATTAATTAATTAAAAATAATAATATTTAATTTTTGCTCCTGCAGATCAGTCACGAACGCTGCAAACGAAGACATTCCTCTATATTGGCCGGTATTACATAAGCTGAGCAATGTTCAGAGCCAATGGCCCCAAAACGCCGTCGTGTTACCAGGTACATTTAATGAACATCGATAACAACAAATAGATATATTACTCGGTAAATTATTTCATGTTTAGGAAACGAAGTGATCTTCTCCTTGGAAACTGCATCCGATTATGTGAAAAACGAGAGTTCCAATACCTATGGCTTCAAGTGCTTGGTCACCGGTTACGATTGGATAACATCCGGTCATGGTCTAAAAAATTTAGAGATCGAGTTATCTTTCCTCGGAGGAGCGTGCGCCGCTAGTCTCATGAAGAAGAATCTATCGTTGCCTCCAGTTTCATGTATGTATTAACGCAAATGAACTTTAATTTTATATTAAAATTACGCAGTTCGCAAATTTTTCTGGCAAACTATTGTAACAACAATAATTTGTTTTCCAAGAACTAATAATCATATTTTGCTATTTCAATTGATTTCTAGCGGAGGAAGTTGAAGAGGATTCAGAATCTATGCAGGAAACAGCAAAAAGGATCTTCTCCGTTCACTCTACATTGCTTGGACGAGGATTCGCACTCGCGTCGCCCCCCACAGTTTCCCAGGCTCTCGACGGCGTACTTCCGTACAGGTAAGTATTCAAAGTTAATCTTGATGCATGAAGTTTGAATGCAAATGTTCTTTAGTTGAAAAAGAAACCGCATCGTATCGCGATCAAATATCATAAAAAATTTGAGAAAAGGTCATTGGTATAATTATCACATACGTTATATTGCATGCGCGCATCGAGAAAATTTGATATATATATTTTTTATATTAAATTTATTATATTCGTTAACACGACATGTGGTATGTAATTACCGGAATTACGGATAATCACATTGGACATGAGAGTTATTCTTTTTTGCACTTCGCCAAAGATTTGATCGTCCAATTATACGTGTTTCAATATTATTCAATATTTTACATAAAACTTAATATTCGTCGAAATTTCTCTCATCACATTACTTAGTATCCAATCCTCCAATTAAATTTAGCAAATATTCAGTTAAAAAGTCAGCGTCGTTATTTCCTTTTAACTTGTCCGAAAGAACGCACGGTTCGATAAATTGATCGCTTATTATCACGGTCTAAATATTTAGCTTTTATCGGACTTGAAAATTTCGTTGTCGGGATACAAAAGGTTCCTCTGATGCCCAGTAATGTATATTATGTGCATCAAAAATTCTCTCACATATTAATAGAGATTCATCATTATATAAAATTCAAGCTCAAAATAAATCATCTCTATTATAATGGCACAACAACCTGTTATTTAAAAAATTCGACACTAAATTCAACATCGCCTTTATTAATTCGTTGCGTTATTAAAAAAGTATTATAAGTACATGGAATTATCTCGCAAAATATGATGACTATAGAACAGATACAATACTTTGTGCAATAACACAAATGTGTATCCCGTTTTTATCTGGTTATCTTCGAAATTGTTTTTGCAATTACTTATCTTCGACAAGGCTTTCCTTTCTCCGTAATCGAATTTTGTATTAAGTAAGCTTTATTCACAATGACGATAATATTTAGAGATATTGCATAAATGTGTAACAGAATCTTTGGCAAAGACAACACTTTGCAAGTCCAAAGTGATTTCTCGTGGTTTCGTGATTGTGACGCGCGTGTCACCTCCTGAATCACGCGCAATACAGAACCCGGGACGTTCGTTCGCGAACTTTAAATTGTTCTCATTTAAAAACTCGTTCGGACGTAATCCTGCAAGAAGAAAAAGATTGCTTTTTCCGGCGCAAGGGGTTGCACGTTGCATTCATGGGCGTGTACTTTACATCTTTATATTGATCAATTAGGTGAAAGAAATACGAAAGGTTATACGTACGGTTTCTTTTTCTCTATCACGAAACCATATTTTATTCACCACTCCATGTCGATAACAGTTATCTCGAACGAAATTGGACAAATAGCTCCACGTTTAACGATATTTAATCACAGTGGCGTGCGTCTGTCTCTCTCAATCGTACGTCACTAATATATGTACATATATATATATATATATATATATAAATATAAATGTACGAAGTATACGTAATTCCTGAAGACGGCTAATTAGAATTCTGCTCGCGTGGCTCACTGTATCTCGCCCCGAGTCGCGTGTTGGAAATGTATAAAATGTTCTCGGCACTACCTTTAAAACACGAATATAATGAACGAGTATAACGTGACGCGTCCCGAAGAAAACCGATATTCGGCCAAGGAATACCGAGAAATCTCGCGACTGTATATTTAAACGTTCGATCGCGCTGGCAGAACTTTAACATCTGACCTCGAATATAGTGTCACGTTGGACAGATCGAACGGCCGTAATATGATTAGCGAGTGATTAGCGTATTGGTATCATCTTTATTTTATCTTCGGTCGTTCAATGCGAAACAAATTATACAGTCGGCTGTCGTTATATCACAGTCTCACGATAATTATGACTATATGACGTTACAAACTCATCTCTGCTTCGTTATGATGCTACGATTACACACGTATACACCCATACATACCCGCGTATACAGTTTGCACGTGCCGTGGCATATTAGACTCTGATCTTTCGATATGCGGATGCTAACTGGAGGCTCTACCTTCTGCAGCGAAGCTCGCGCTGTTGATATAGAAGGCGCAAGAATGTCGGCTCTGTCTTCTTTTATGCCCGTCTTCGAGTGCTCGAGTCCTCTGCACTCGGTTGGTAAAATGTCGATTCTGCTGGATATATAGGGGTATATTTAGTCGATGAGCTTTATTTCATTTCACATTTTACTCTCTCCTTCGTCTAATCGGTCTTTCTTCATGATTATCAAAATAGTCGCGCAAATGGTAGTATTCGGTGCTCGCGATACACGTCTTTGCTCGTGATAAGGAAAGGGACAGTATTTATTGATTCTCATCATTATATTCTGGAAGAACGATGGCTCATCATCGGAGCCTTTGAAGCGCTCTCGGTTCACGCAGATTAAACGTGTCGAGGGATATCGGTACGTGTCGGGATGTACATTCGGGGTGTTCTCGTTTGGTTTTACATGATACATCGATTCCGCTGAAGTTCTCTCGTTGTTACACATATCGCCGGTGCGCGTGACAAATTATTTGATTTAATATTATAAATCCCGCCGGATCGTGTGCTGCAACTGCTTAATTTAATCGTTAATTTCACGGGGCGATCGCGTACGCGCAGTATTTCATCGCTGAGATTCGCTTAAGACTAAGTGTAAATTAGAACAACAATAACAACAGTTTATTGCCAAGGTATCTGCGAAAGCATGCAAGTAAATACATACATCGATATTAGTAGAACAACGTGATAACGAAACGATAAGAGAATCCACAGCAGTACGTACGTACGTACTCATAGTCGGGCCTTACATTTGAGGCCTCCTTGTATCCATCTTTAGATGCTGCACGGATTATTTTATTGGCTGCAGATCATCTGAAGATAAACTTAAGGAAGTCTTAAATATAAGGCCTGACTATGAATACCGATGTGAGTCACGGCGGTTTATCGTCTCAACGGATTACGCCGTTGCGATATTTTTCTCGTGGTGTGTGTGTGTGTGGGGGGGGGGGGATTGTTTTTTTAACCTAGGGAAGGTTTATCTCGCGTCGCTTTATTTTTGCTCGTTGTCGCATTACATCGCCGTCGGTCTTCCACTCTATAAAAACGATAGGTTCCGAGGAATTTTGATATGAAAGCTTAATAAGAAGTAGCATCTTCGTCTTCGTCTATTTTGTTTCTCGTTCGAGAGATCAGAATTTCTACGGAGTGAACACGAGACACATGTGTCGTCACTCCAGGAATGGCACAGCTGTCCGAGCGAGCGGTCGTCTTGGTCCTTTCGTACCGTGATATTCGCTCGAAACGCTTACTAATACGTATAACGTTACACGTCTTAAACGTCGATAGCCGCTATCGCTATCGCGATCGATAAACTTAAAGCAACGCAGTGCGAAAGGTCGGCCCAATCGCGTATCTTACACAAGACAGCGAGTTTAGGATTTTCTCTACACGAGTACGCTCGTCTGCTTTCTCTCTTTTTTTTTTTTTTCCATACATACGCACACGCACATACGCACACACATGCACACACTCTCCTTCCTTTCTAAATAGCGATCGCTTCAACGAGGTCGCTTCGTCTTCTACGACACTGGCACTGGCTCTCGAAAGTTACGCAATGATCAACTTAACTAACAGCGGTGACCGATCATCCGCCGAATCCGCGACTCGTCCGCGGAACTCTCGTCGATCGCCAGCGAGGAACGCGGCCGCCTTCGGGGCGAAAGGTCGACTGGCGGGGCTCGAGGAATGGGAGAGCCGCGGCGGCATAATCGGCGGCCGCTCGTGATATGTAAATGGAAGTTTACGAACTGCCTTGTACTAGGAGATAATCAGTTAAATGAACAAACGACAAAACCAAGAAAAATAGGACCGTTCGGGAGATGGGAGGGTACGCTTACGTCGGGCGCTTGATTATTCCTCAAGCGGCGATGGTTTGCGGTTTTCGTTAACGCGCACGGTCAACGCCCGTGGAGTGTGTGTGTGTGTGTGCGTGTGTGTGGTGTGTGTGTATGTGTGGCTCTGAGTCCTTGTGCGGCAGGAAGCGGACTCTTCGCGTCCGAAACACCGCGATCTCATGAATTCTCATGTCACTGTTCTCTTCAACGACGCCGAGATCGCAGCGTCCATCTCTCGTCCTCTCTCTCCCCGCCCCCTTTTCTCTTTCTTTCTCTCTCTCTCTCTCTCTCTCTCTCTCTCTCACAGCTTATACACTCGGAAACGACTCGACGTTTCCGCCCACTCAAGTTCCTCCTCAACAGGAGCGATCGCGGGCCCTCTCGTCGTCGAGCCGCCCGGGGCTTCTCGTTACAACTCGGTCGTGAGCGGCTCGGCCTTCTCGACGATCACGTGGAACTCGGTCTCCCGGTATAGCCTGCCGTCCGGCACCACCATGGTTATCCTACTGTCGACCGGTGTGCCGGAGGTCGCCGCCTCCCTGCCGATCACGCCGTTCTTCTTCGAGACCACGTCGGGCGCGTTCGTCGGCACGCTGATCCACTTCTTCCGGTTGTTCCGTCTGCGTTTCCGACAACACCAGACGATCAGGCATACGCCCACTATGAGGGCCACTAAGACAGCCACGGTGATCAGGATGAAGACGAGCATGGAGCCGCCGAGCGAGCAGTGACGCGCCTCGTAATCGGTGAAGCTCGTCGGCACACCCTCCACCCGGGCGTCCAAGCATAGAAACGTCTCCGGGGTCTCGTTGATCGGCTCCTGCGGCTGCAACGTCGGCGGCACGAGCGAGTTTTGCCGCGCGTACAGCCGCGAGTAGACGTTGGTGTAGTTGAGCACGTTGTTTTTCCACACCGGTAGCATTTGGCAGTCGCAAGCTTGTGCGACCAGGAGATTGTCGAGCTCCGGCCGGAAACTCGTGCGGTCGAACATCAACGAGCCCTCCTCGAAGTTGCTCACGCTATTGTTCTTGAAGATGAGGTCATGCAGGCCGATCGCCGCCGTCGACGACGATGACGACGACGACGACGACGACGACGACGACGACGACGGCGGCGGTCGTATCTCGCGGTCCGCGCGTATGCCGAGGAACGCGCCCACCCCGATGCTACCGAAGGTGTTGTTCTTCACGATCACGGCGCCGTGCGCCGTCACGTCGAATGCCTCGCTCTCCAGAGTGTCGATCGCGCAGTTTTGTATCGCCACCGTGCGCGGGCTCCTCACTATGAACGCGTCGCTACGTACGACGCCCATCCTCACGCCGTCCAGCATGAACTTGTGGTAGACCTCGATGTCGTTCATGGTGCGGCTGGGCACCTGGTCGCCGAAGGTACCGCCGATCACGTGCAGGTAGCCGACGTCGAACTTCTTGAAGGCCTGCGCCTCCGTCGTCTCGATGCGGCAGTTCTCCAGCCGCAGGGTGTCCGTGTGCACCAGATTGGCGAACGAGAAGGCACTCAGCTGGCCGATCCTCACGTTCTCGAAGGTGATCGCCTCGACGTCGCCGCGGAACACAAAGCTCGGCATCACGTCGATGCTGCTGTTCCTCACGGAGATCCGTGTGCGCGCGCTGTGCGACGACAGCTCGAAGCTCTGCCGGGCCAGGCTCAGGTTCGCCACGTTCACCAGGTCCACCGATCGCAGCCCGGTCATCGAGGCTAGGCTCGAGTTCATCAGGATCACGGACGAGCAGTTGTTCACTACTATTCGGCTGGTGTGCGGACTCAGCCGTCGGTCCCCCTCCGTAGTCAGGATCAATTCCTGCGAAAGTTCCGGACGAACTGTTATTATCGCGAAAGTTCCATCTCGGATTATGCTTCAACACGACGAACACCGCGATCGAAATCAATTTTCATCCTCAGCAAAAGCAAAATCAGTCAACGATTCGAGATCGCACTGGTGGAGGAGGCGGAGGGACGTGAACCTGTTTAAATTTCTCTCGCGAATACGCTAAGGCGGTAATAAGACGCGTCTCGACTGAGTTATCTTTGAGATTATCTTTTAAGCTGAAGCAAACGCGAAAGGGAGAAGAGAAGTTAATTGGACGGAAGAGATGTTTACGGAGGAGCGGCTTTTTCGTTTCAAAGCGATCGCGTGGCGGCAAGTTTTTCCCGCTCATGAGCTTCAATTCAACGGACACGATATCGCCGGCGGAGAAGAGAAGGAGAGAAAAGAATCGCAGCGTTCGAGGGTAATTTGGTAGTACGACGCAATGCGCCGGATCCGGGCGGGCCTTAATAGGGTTCGAATAGCCGTAATTGCAGGTCTAACGATCCTAATTATTCGCGACGTGTGCGCCCACACGGCACCGCGCCCGGTGCTAATTACCGCGAATAATGTCGTTGTCATAATCACGGGACAGAGAGCTTAATTTTGCGAAGGACCACGTTGCAGTCGTCGTCGTCGTCGTCGTCGTCGTCGTCATTGTCGAAGGACGCGGCAACGCCAACTCCCGATTCCAAGGAGATTCCCCCCTCCCCTTTACATTTAATCGACATTTATATCGCTGCCTCCGTCTCTACTAATCGCTGTTTTTACTTCTCCCCTCCAATCAACTCCATTTGCGCGTTTGCGACCAAGCTGTCGCTTCTGTTTTTTTTTCTCCGGATTTTCCGCTTGAGCGCGCGCGTTTGTCGTTGCATACGAATTAGATCACCGCGGGATTATCCGCGACGAGCCTCTTATCCGCGTCGCGAACGGATACCGCTTCGATATCGAGGCGGATGGCAGCTGTATTCGTCTGGTTGGAATACGAGCGACGAACGGAATCGTAGGAAAAAAACGACGGAGAGAGAGAGAGAGAGAGAGAGAGAGAGAGAGAGAGAGAGAGAGAGAATTTTGGCGCGAACACTCTCGCTTGCGCGAGTATTCTCGCGTCTTGAATCGCGCGCTATCGTCGCGGGGACGCTCGCGATGCGCATTCGCCGGGCTCGTTTATTCGCGCCCGCGTTTGCAACTTTCGCAGAGACGGCCGATAACGCTCGTCGACAACTGGCATATCGAACGGCCGATCGAGGAACGTGCACGTCGCGACTCTCCCGCTTTGATCGACCACAAAGGGGTCTCTCGTGTGATATCTCTCGTGCGCGCTTCTCGTCGCTCGAAGCCGCGCGCGCGCGCGCTCTCTTATTAATTACCACACTTGCCCGACTAATCGATTCGGTTGAACTTGCAATTCCGAGAGGGAGAGAGTGTGAGGGAATGTGGCGGGATTCGGCGGCGTCTGTCGATCTCGTGATGCTTGAAGGGACGGTCCCGCCGCGCCTCTAAACGTCGTGTCATTCGCAGTGTTTTATTTTATTTCCCGTCCGTTTCTTAAGGAACATTAAGGTGGCATCGTGGGATCGCGAAAAAAACACGTGAGACGGGACGGGCACTGTACGCACGTCGAGCGTACACGCGTCTATTGAACTGCAAAAACAAAGTGCGCGGCAGTGGAAATAAAGCAAGCGTGAAACGAGCCGACTAAAGAAAAGGGGGGAGGGCCATTTATGCCGTTCTTTCTCAGGCGTTGTCGTTCTTACGCATTACCGTCCTGCCTGCCCTTCTTGGTCCCTTCCTGCTTCTATTCGAACCCCATCCCTGACCCCTCGACTCTTTTGTTCTTATCCCATTGTCCACGGTTACTTTCGGACATGCAGCATGTCGAGCGGAGATTATCTAGCGGTGCCCGGTTGTACCTGTGCCCGGGCTAAAATCTACCATTTTCATTTGTCGCTCGCGTCTCGTCTCGGGGAAATTCACAGGGGTGGGACAGGGGGTGAATGTACGGCGATTTATACGTCGGACATAGCGAGACATGACTTTTCGTATTTTTTCAAGCGACAGAGAAAACCGCGTGTGCGTTAACGAGTTTCCGAGCAGGAGAAGAAGTTCTCCTCGAACCGTTCTCGATCAATTTCTCCGGTTCCGGTGAGATTGATCTCTGTCTCGTCTCGAAAAATTCGATATCGACCATTCGAGGATGATCTCGCGTGGAGAAGATGGTCGCGGATCGCGAGATGTAATTTGTTGCCCCGCGACGACTTCTCTGCAACTGACGTTTCACGTGTCTCGAAATATGAAATACATAAATAGGTGATCGGCCGGCCGTCGTCGTAACTTTGCGGGATCCCGGGAGGGAGACTTGAATTTTATTTCTTACAGTTTTGCGCGCTCGCGAAAGCTGCGAGGGACGAAAAGCGGAAAAACATTTGGAGCGGTGGCAGTGGCGATGCTCTTCTTCTTCCTTTCAACCTTCGAACGGCGCGCGCGCATGCATGCACACACACACACACACATACATACGTACGTCTGTTCCGTTCGCAACCCTTACTTTTTAGTCAGAGTTCAACTACGGATTCCTCCTGTAATTCCCGGACATTTTTACGCGTCGCGTCTAACACCGCTCTCTTTTTCTTGCCGCCCTCGAGTGTGCACTCGTCGATTACTCGGAGCTATTCCCGACGAGAATTAAACTCGAGCGCGCGTTAATCCGCCACGAACTAGTTTTCCGAGACGGCTTTCTTTTCCTTTTTCTTTTTTTTTTCGCTTGCTTCCTGTGACGTTTCTCTGCTTGCAAATTCGCGAGGAAATCTATGCGCGTATGATCCCGTCAAACGCACGTAATTCGCGAGAAATTGCCAACGATCTAATGTCGATTATGGCGAAATCACGAGCGGCGGTGCCGCCGTCTCTTCCTTCTTCTCCTCTTCCTCCTCCTCCTTCTCCTCCTTTTCCTGCCCCTCCTCCTTCTCCTCCTCGCGTTTTTAATCGAATCGGAAAATGTTCGAGAGTCCGCTGCGTTAGGAAAATTCTCTCCGGATGAAACTGAAAATGAGATTGCTTTAATGGGTCGAGTTTAAGTTCATCGCGGAGACATGCGATTGTCGGTTGCCGCCGAGAGAAAAGGAGTCGGAGAGAGTGAATCTTCGAACAAAACGGAAACGGCGAACGTAGAAAGTGGCGGAAACAACAGCGAAAATTCTTTTACGATCCATAATAAAGAATTTACGCTAAGCGATTTTGCCTCGATGGCGAATTTAGCCGCTCTCTGAGTTCTGCGCTCCTCAATTTCTAATCGTGCTCAATAATTTCGAATACTCGAGAGGGAGGCGAGCGATCAGCGGCGGTTTAGTTTCGGTCGATTAATCCGCCGATGACCCAATTACGGCAAATCCATCGATTACGCGTCGTCGGCGCTCGTCATCGTTTTTGTCTCGGTCGACGCTTCAGAGCTTCGAGGAGGACTTCCGATGTTCCGGCGTCGAGGATCTCTCGACGCGCCGGACACTTCGTTAATAATGCTCCGTTGTAACGGAATAACGATCCCGTTTATTAGTATCGACTTATCGTCAGCGGGGTGAGAGAAAGAGAGAGAGAGAGAGAGAGAGAGAGAGAGAGAGGGGGGAAAGCGGCGAGTTCTCTAAAAGCATGCTGCCGCGCGACCCGGCTTGTTTTCCCGTGTATTTTTATACGCGGCAATTTTCCACGCGGCTCTATGTCGTACCCCTCGTCGTCTTTCCATTTTCTAAGTATTTTCATAACCTTTTCTCCGTAAATGGCGCCCTTACGTTTCCAACGGTACTTACGTACCGTTACTTTTACACCCCGAGACCGGTCGCCGCTCTGCCTCCCCCCTTCTTCTCCTCCTTTCGTCGTTTCATGTGTCTTATTTCACTGTCTCTTGTTACGGCCAAGCGAGTGAGCTTAAAGTCGTATTTGCTAAAAGGTTTTCTCGATTATTTACGCTCTCGTCAATTATGCAGCGCGCGACACCGGCGACCGTGGACTTTGTGTCCTTCGAGGAACTTAGTATCGATGGCCCTACGTGTTACAAGGACGATACTGAAAACACTTCCGATTATTTTTAAGTCGGCCTCTTTTATTAACAGCTCCCGAGGTCCGATCGCTTTTTCGTGGAAACGCGGCTTGAAAGATACACTCGTTAATCGCGATCCTTAACCGGAAGCTCTCGCCGGAAATTTTCTATTCCGCAGCAGGACGCGCGCCGTTGCTATTTTTCGCCGTCTACACTGCAATTTTCCGCTCACCGCCGAGCCGTGTTTTCCAACAACAAACATTTCTCGAAATTCGTTTCCCATTTTCCAAAACGGCATAACATCGGCGAAGGATGAAACGGTCAATTTGCAATCGAAGTAATATCATATCGCTCATTTTCACCGCGTTTCCTTCGCTCTTCTGCCGCTCTTCTCTCCTCTGTCCCTTTTTCTCTCTGCGGTATAATTACGAGTTCGTCTTGCGCGCGCGCGCGCGTGATACGTCATCGCGTGATAAACGAGCACGCGTCTCTGAGCTCGATCGGGCGCCCAAGAGGCGCGCTCGATGCCGTTTCGAGTGATTTACATTCTTTATCGTTCGCGTTGTTGTTGTCGTCTCTGCCGCTGACCGGACGATAGGCCGGCCCACGCCCGGCTCGCTCTTTGGCCGCATTCGCGCGAGTGCAAGGTCGCTGAAAACGCGCCGTGTCCCCGCGTCTGCTAGGGACGCGTACATGCACCGCGTGCGATAGATCGTGGCTCGCGACATAAACCCCGGCTTGCTCGGGCTCATCTTCCGCCGGTCGTTTCGTCACGCGCGCGGATTTTACGGATCGGGTTTACGTAGGAGGTATCGCCGACGAATCGCGCGTTGTTATTGCGCCGCGGCCGACGGCGGACTATACAAAGAACGCTTTATCGCGGACAATAATGACGGGCGAGATGCTCGCGAGGACACGCGGTAACATTATCTTCCGTCCCGGGGCTTGCAGTTAAAACAACATGGTTGCGCGCCGCGAAATATTCGCCCGTACGCGTTCGCGAGCGAGCGCTCGCAGCGTTCGCGATTAAATTTCCATGGCGTGTCGTACCACTGCTCCTCTCCCCTTGCACCCCCTTCGCCGTGGACGCGCGAGCTGAATACGAGACTCGTTTACGTACCGCTGGCGTACGGAATTATTTTCTCGCGCGAAATTGATAAAATCTCGGGATTTTTAATCGAATCACGAGCAACTTTAATTGTAACAGGATGATTGCTTTATCTCGTCGTGTAATCGTTAAAAGTGTGCGATATACATTGCATTTATTTGTCTCCCTAGGTGGGTGTTTGTGTACATTTCGCGCTCCTCGTGTTCCCCGGAGCGCGCATTCGTTATCTTCTTATCGCACTTTCTCGACCTCGTGTCGCGATTCGCATTCTTCATTGCGGCAAAAAGACGGAAGCCGCGGCTGCGCGCGGGGCAACACGGGGGAGGAGAGACAGACACAGCTAGAGAGAGAGAGAGAGAGAGAGAGAGAGAGTGAAGGGGGTGGGGTCAGTAGGAAAACGGAGTAGGAAACTTTCGACAAAGTCGAATTTCAAACTCTCATCACCGCGAGTTTCAAATTTATTCAATAAATTCCTGCCGCCGCGCGGAAAAAGCGATGGTACTCACGTTACCGCGTTTACCATCGCCACTCGGGGTAGCGGCGTCGCGCACGCGCTCGCGCTCGCGCATTCGTTTCGACTAAACGAAAACTGACGACTTCCGGTCAACGCGGTCGTGTTTCTTTTGTGAGGAAGGAAGTCCTCATTGGCGGGCGAGCGCGCGCGATCCTCGAGTTACCTCGCGGCGGCACTATCGCCTTTATCGCGATATCGCGATGCGATTATGAATCATTGCCGCCGGCGCGCAGGCCGCATGTAGGCAGGTAGACGCTCCTTCTTCTTGATCGCCGGTGCTCCTTTAATATCGCGGATGGCCGGAAGCGTCGGAAACGCGCCTCTCTCGGTAGGAACGAACGCACGAACCAACAGCTCGCGTGATCCTAGACTGGCGAGGGACGCCCGCTATTTTTCTCTCTTTCTCTCTCTCTCTCTCTCTCTCTCTCTCTCTCTCTCTCTCTCTCCTTCTCGACCCAACAGGATGCGTGCGCCGCCGCCGGGGGATAAAAACGAAACATTTACGAGAGGGTGGAATGGAAGGATCGGCGCGGAGTCCTTTCTCTCAGCGTACCTATATTCCTATCTACCTGCCTGCCTATCCGCCCCTTCGCCCGCAACCCTACGATTTGCGTAAACACGCTCTAATTTATGGGGGTTTCCACCCCTGTCGGTGGTTGGCACCCTCGCGATTTACGGGCACCCCCGCATAGTCCGGGAGATTAGGCTCGTCCTAGCTGATCGCCCTTCTATCTCTTTCCCTTTCTTCTCTTCCTCTTCTTCCTCTCTCTCTCTCTCTCTCTCTCTCTCTCTCTCGCCCTCTCTTCCTTCTTGTCTCTTTCTCTCGATCTCCGATGTCCTCGCTCCGTTGTAACGACAGAGCGGCGGAGCGATTATTACTTTATCTCGATCTTTGTTGCCATCTCCTCGGGCGATACGCGGCGCCGAAGACGTCATCCGGCCGAAGAGATCCGGAGGAAACATTTTGTCCTCCTCTCTTGCCCCTGTATCTTTCTCTCCCTCTCTTTCTCTTTTGCTTTCTTTCCTCTCGGTCGCGGGAGATCGGGTTTTACGATTTTACCATCGCACGAAGCTACCCGCGGTACCGCCTCTTTATCTCCCCGCCGGGTAATTCGCAAATGGAATAACGTCCCTTGCGAACAAAGAACGGGTAGATCTGGTGGCGCGTCCCCGTGTCGCATTGTCTGAGATTTTTCGTGCGATAGCAATAGCCCCGCGGTTTCCGCACGAATTCATTTTGGGAGGGAGAAGGGAGGAGACAGAAAAGAGAGCACGCTACCTCCCTCTCTCTCTCTCTCTCTCTCTCTCTCTCGCACGCGTTCATCGTTTTGATCGAAGGTGAAGAGGCGTCATTGGTAATAAAAGAGATTGGAGGACGGGGCGATCGGGTGATCCTTAATCCAACCGACGAGACTGTCGGAACGAAAAGAACCGAATTAACCCTGCAGGACTCTGTGCAGTCGAGCGATCCGTTGGAAGATAGACGCCTATAAGATTGCGTTATCGTACAGAGGTTATGAAGAAGTGTTCTACGAAAGGAAGAAAGTGGGAGGCCTCAATAGCGAGATGAATCTCCACGCGTGGAAAGCAAATAAACGAGGGAATATTAGCTTTTTGGCCGCGCTTCACTCGCGAGCAGAGTGGTGCTTATCAATGGGCTTGCGCTCGGTGAAGTACTTCATGCAGTGGACAAAAGACAGGATAATCGAGTCGTGTAATTAAGAGGCATCCGAAAGAGGATTACACTCCCCGATTCGTTCGTTGCATCGCTTTGTCACACAATTATACGTGTCCACACAATGCATCCAACTCGCTCGCGGCTCGTTCACGTCGTGCGTCGAAGAGAGGAGGATACACGCTTCCTCGTGTCGTGGATGAGAGCTACGAATCTCGGTTTATCTCGCCTGATAGCACGGTATATTTTTAGCACTCGTAATCTCTGCCGCACGCGCCACCTGCCCACGCGAGTCCGCCGGAGAAAGGTGTTCTCCAGCGCGACTTGTGCATCGCGGTTACAAAGCGTGCAGTGTCACGATCGACGAAACGCTCGATTCTCGCGCGGTAATACTCGTCGGCAGTATTGAGAACCTACCTCGCCCTCCTCCTTGCAGTCACAGGTCAGTCTGCCGTAGTGGTCGCAGGAGCAGGGCGGATAGTCGCACCTGCTGGTGGAGTTGGTCAGGACGCCCTTCAGCAAGCTGCTCCAAAAGAGTCCCAAGATCGCGCTGCCTAACACATATTTTGTTGCTCCCATTTTGCGCCTCTCGCTCGCTCCCTCTCCCCCTCTCTCTCCTCCTGCCATACGCTCCGAGAGTTTCCTCTCCTTCTTCCTTCTCCTCCTTCTCCTCCTCCTCTTCTTCTTCTTGATCACCGACCGCGTTTTATACGAAGCCGGCGGCGCCAGCGAGTTCCGCGTCGAGCCGACCGCGAGGTCGTCTCGACATGTCTGTGCTTCAAACCACCGGCCAAGTGCTTTCAATTTTCGCGACAATCACCTTTAAACTTTAGCGTGCGATTAAAGGGCGATTAATCGCGCACGATTTATCCCGCTTTCACCACTCACGAAGAGTTATCCCGACCATGTGGCACGTGACACGCCACGCCACGCAATATTACGTGATTCTGATCCGGTCATGATACGCCCCGCCTCTTCTCGCTGGATTCATACTTTCGTGATGACGACGACGACGACGATGACGACGATCGTTCGTTCGTTCGTTCGTTCGTTCGTTCGTTCGTTCGTTCGATGTATCCTTGAGGTTCGTTCGAACCGCCGTCGAAGACTCTTCTACTACAACGTACGGGCGATTCGCTTCCTCACCGAGAGGACGACGCGATCCAATTTCATCGGTGACAGCGCGCAATGTTCTCGAACATCGCGCCGTCTCGCCCGCAACCGCTCGTCCTGTTACTCTTCGCCCTCGGTCCGCTGGAAGAAACGATCGTCCGTCTCTCTCTCTCTCTCTGCAAGGATAGAGAAATTAGAAAACCTTACTCGTTCTCGTTCCTCCCCCCCCCCCGTCCCTCCTCCCTCCCTCTCTTTCTGCCACGAGATTTCACCTCTGCGGTCTCAAATTCTTCGAATATCAGTCAACGATTATACGCACCACCGATATGCTGAGACAACTGAGTATCCTCGTGGAGAACGTCTCTGTCGCTTATCCGGCAGCCTTTCTGCGTATACTTATAATTTTAGGGATTACTTGCTGGGTATCTTTCGTGAAAAGAAGAGAAAATTGCGCGAAATTTGTCGCCGAGAGAGAGAGAGAGAGAGAGAGAGAGAGAGAGAGAGAGAGGAGAGAGAGAGAGAGAGAGAGAGTCGCTTCCGCACGTTCTTCTTCTTCGAGAGCATGGCAACTATGCCGCTCGACTATGCTGAACGACAACGTTTTCTCCCTTCTCTCCAGCACCTTCGAAGTAGTAAGAAATACCGCGCGGCGTTATCGCGTTCGGTCGCACGCGTGTAATACGAGGAACTGTGTTGAGAGTCGGTACGCGATATACCGCGCTGCACCAACGGCACCGTCGCAATATCCGATGATGATAATCCGCGATCTGCCACTCGGCTGTTCTCCCACTGTACACCATCGCGTGACTAATCGTGTCTACATTCCTGCGTTATCAGAGCGCTCTCGCTCAACGTGACGTGGTTCTGTTTATCGTACAAATATGTCAACTGCCGTTACTGTAAACTTTTCGCGTTAGCCGTTCTCCGAATGCGCTTCTCGCGCTAGCTCGTTCGCGCGTTAGCGCAGACTCGACGATGAAATCGTCTTATTTGTTAACACCCGAATTCTCTCGACGACTTACGGGGGAGAGTAACTATTCCAAGTTGTATCGCGATGAAAAGTAGCATTCGCATGCGACATAATGCCAGAGTCGTAATGTTATTTTCGCGTAATTCCGCCGGGTGCCTTCTGGAGCACAAAGAAATAGTCGCGAGACGATAAACTTATGCAAGTATAATTCAAGTGCGCGCGGATGCGAAACATTTAGGAACGTACGTCTTAACAGTGAATCGAATATCATGAGAGACGTCACACCGGCTTCCGAGTTCATTGTCATGTTAATTCCAGCAATAATTTCGTATACTCATTCATGCATACGTATACGAATACGAACTTTCGATTTGCCGGCGAGTGTAAATAGTGTAAATAGTGCGTAGGAGTGCAACTATTTTTGCGCGCAAAGTTGGCGGCCTGCTTTCGAGTCGCGATTGCCGCCATTTGGGCGGCCATTACTGTTGATCGGTGGATCGTCACGATACAACTGTCGCGCGGATTTTCCTCCCGTGTTCCTCGCTATTTTCGCGCGATTCTTCCATCGCGGTGTCGTGAAATGTGCCGCGTCTCGCGTCGCGTCGATTCCGCGAGTATTCGCGTCTTTGAGTGTTCGCCGCCATGTTCGCGGCGAGTGAAACGCCGAAGCGCCGCGCCGGTCGAATTTCCCCCATTACGAGCGATTCGCACTTGGTGTCGCGCGCGTTTTTTTTCTGGGATTCTTCGAGAATCCGCCGAAAAACAGTGAAGCGTCGCGTCGCGTCGCGTGCCGCGATCTTCGGGAGTGCCGGGAGTACACAGCTCGTGTGTGTCATATCGCGACAATCGATCGATCGCTCATGTTTGATTGTGCGTGCTACGCTGGAATCAGACGACGGGATGACAACACACACAATGACGCCTGGTGTTGCACACACGGATATCAGCCGCCTTCGCAAGTACCGACGGTAAATAATACTTGTAGCTTGAGAGGAACTATCGTTTTTCGCAGACAGCCAATGGACCGTGTTTTCGATGCCTTCTTTTTTCGACGGAACAAAGTTTGATCTACTTGGTAGTAACAAAAAGAGAGAAAAAAAGTGAATGGCACGGCGGAGGCGGGCGGGATCGATAGACGTGAAAAGAGCGTCGTGAGTGAAAGGTAGCCTCGCTCAAAGGGTTCGAGAAGAATTTCCCTTCGCGAGTCCTTCCAACGACCACTCGAAATTTCTTCCGGTCCGTTTTTCTTCCGCAGTCTCCCCGCGTCTCTGCTCCCCTCCCCTCCCCTTCCTCTCTCTCTCTCTCTCTCTCTCTCTCTATGTGTGTCTTTCTTTCTTTCTCTTGGATTCTCGTTCTACTTTTAGCAGCGACAAAGATACCTCGCTTTTAACGCGGCGCTTTGCTAAGCTAATTGCTCGTTGGGTTAATTGGAATAATCGCAAAAAATTAAACGATCTTAACGTTAAACCCGGCAAAAAATGCGATTCGTTGTCTGGATTCCTCGATTATTTCTTGAATTACGATCTTTAACATTTTGAGATTCGCGCCAATTATGTACATTAGCTGCGTGGATGACATTTGTTCCTCTCAGCTGAAATTATAGCGAGGAAATAATAAGATTTTAATCTGCGTTCGGCGGGTTTGTGAATTCTTTTCGTTGTACTCTCTCTCTCTGCATTCCACGACGCAGAGAACCTCGACGCGGTTCCTCACATTTGTCACGTACCAAGTTCGCCCTCGCCTCGCGTCGTCCGTTTCGCCCATTATTACGTCCGTTTTCACCGACGTAGATAACGTCAACTCGCGCACGCTGGCAAGATCGATCGAGCCGCGGATCATTTTCAATTAACGAATATTTGTTGCGCCGCTCGACGGTGCCCAAGCAGGTGCGCGCGATCGTTCGTGCGCGATTAATTGACCGGCGGGGTCGCATTGACGTCAGTTCTCGCGGCATAACTAGCGAACGGCGGTGCCGCGCGCGCGGACAGAAGGAAGAAGCGGTGCTACCAGTCGACGAGAGGTGTACACGTCGAAATGAAAGCGCAGAAAGAACAAAAGGAAAGAACGGAAAGAGGAAGCGCGCGCTAGCTCGATTGCGGAATTGACACGGCGCGCGGCGCGGAGGGCGCGCAAAAACGCGAAATTACTTCGATCGGGCGACGGTGAAATTCGCGCTGCCGAACGATTAAATGTCTCGGCCCGTCTGATTTACACCTCGTTAATGGATACTCGTATGTATTCGAGGCCGAGACTCGCTCGGGCCAGTGACTCGTGCCGATCCGCGTATTTGTCATTTCAGAAACAGCACTCCCTTTCTCTCTCTCTCTCTCTCTCTCTCTCTCTCTCTCTCTCTTTTTCCTCCCCTCTCTTTCCTCTCCCTCCGCTCTTCGACACGACAAGACGATGGGTTAGGGACGCGGTAGGGCGTGCAGTAGTAAATCGTTTCCGATTACGTGACTCTTCGCCTCTCGCCCGTAATACCTCGTCGACTCGCCGACATATGTACACGCGGCACGCCGCGTTCGACTTCTCGCGCTCCAGCTGCGTGCGATTCCGTCGGAATACCGTATGCGATTCCTCGCGGCTGCATGCAATTTGAACAAGGCGGAGAAATAGTGAGTGAAGCGGAGAGAGGGGCAAAAGGGAGAAAAGGCAATGACGGTCCACCCGCGGGCGGTCCACCCAACGCCGCGCGTTTCGAGCCGCGTTCGCCTTTATTCCTCTCGCAACGTCTTATCTTCTCAGCCGCTTTATCGCCGCGACTTGTAAGAATTGTCTGCTTTCCCTCCCGGGAAAGCGTTCGCAGTTTTCAGACGGCGATAACGATAAACGGGGCCGGGGAGGGGCTCTGGGGAGGAAAGGGAACCACCACCCAGCCTTGCGTAATCCCTCGCGATCGAGATCTCGAGGGAAATAATCTTTTCGTACACAGAGTGTGATTATGTGCAAGCTCGGACATGTTGTTAGGGTTCGCTCGGAACCAGGGTTAATCCGGCGTTGATTTGACAGCGGGAATCGCTCGATTCCCCCCCCCCCTCCCCTCCCCTCCCGCGCCCCCAATTGATCGCGAAAGTAGTCGTTGACATTGAAGCTTTGAGGACTACACCGTGTATTCGCGATGAGCCGTTGACCGAACGTCGAAGCGTTCGCGTCGAAACCGATAATCGGAAAACAGATTGTCGCGGAATTTATAGGTCGGGCCATTAGAGGTCCGAATTAATTAAACGCGGCTTATTATGATAACGCGCTGCACGATCACGTTTCACTGTCGCGAGACTGGCGACATGAGTCTCCGCAGATCGCGCGGCGCAAAAGCAGCGCGGTTTGCGGTGTCTTCTTGTGTGCATAAAGTTAATACAATTACACGGCGTCGTCTTTGTTTGCGTCGCTCCAAGAGCTGCGCTTGTATTACCGCGGCTACATTATTCCGACGTGTAACGAGGAAACAGTCAGTCGATTTTCGTGTCTGGTCGCTTGACCTGTTTCCATCGGCCGTGTGTGTGTTCGTAAATACGATGCGGTTCGAATAAAGTCGACTGTCATTAGGGGCTGTCAAGCGGCTGCGTAATGCTGTTGACGAATTAATGCGGTATTATAAGAGGGAGAATACACCGCATTCAATCGCGCAGCGCCGATTATTAATAAGCTCCTCTCTCTCTCTCCATTGTCACATTCGGTTAATTGAAGCGGCGAAGCATCGGAACGTATTCGGCCGGCCCGTTTCAATCGCAATTTCGGTCGCGCAGAGCGCGATTGTGTTTCAAAGTTTTATCATTGAAACTCCCGGAATCGTGCGCCACCTCGGTGCGTCTTCGTTTGTTCCGAAACCAGCTTCCGCATTTCCGCGACTTCAGCCACCGCGGCCGTAATCAGAAACAGAACAGATCGCGCGAATCTCTTGATTCCGCCGATGTCGTTGCCGCCCGACAAAATTACATTTTGTCCTGGAATGCGAACGCGACGAATTTGGATGATCAAAGTTTGTGCCGATCACTGCGGCACGTTTGGCTCAATTTCGTCTCGTGTGTCTCGATCTCGGATAATTCATATTTCTCGACGACGAATCGTCGACGACGACGTTCTTTAATAGCTCTTTATAATATTTTACATTCGCCAACTCTGCGCTTTCTCGAGTGAAGCTGCGCCGGCTTTTTGCGGCTCACATCACGCTCGAGCGTTTCACAATGAATCGCAACAATTCGGCAAACTGGTGACGGTTCACCGCGCGCGACAAACGAAATCGCGCGCGCGCGCGTGTCAAGAGATACGACTCGCCGATGCAACGGTCCGATGACTTTGTTTGAATGGAACATCGGTACGAGCAGAAAACGTCACGTCGTGCTTGCTCATTTCCATGTTTGTTACGATAACGAGCGCCAGTGCTTCGGGGCGCGCTCGCGAAATATTGGTTCCGCTCGTTATCGATATCACGGTTTTAACGCGGCATGACTGGTATCGCAAGGCGTCAGCGATAACCTACATAAGAGAGAACACGCTCGACCGCCTTTCCCGAACGACACATTTTTCCCTCGCGCGCTCGCCAAACAATTGGTTGAGCGTGCACACGCACACACACATACACACACACACACACACACACACACGACGACGACGAAAAAGTCGCGCGCGAGACGAATTCCTGTTCGGCAAACGACGAGCGATTTCATATTGACATGTTATTGCGCGCAGAGAGAAAGCTTTAAAAGTTGATTCCCCACTCCGATTTGCACTTTACACGTCCCGAGAGGATGACGATTCAAAAAGTTATCGCTGTTTTCGAGCCAAAGAGTCTGCTCTTGGCTGAATTGAGTTGTGCTTTTGCTTCTGTGGATGTGGAAACAAGTACATATAATTTCGCGTCGAGGAGAAAAGGGGGACCAAGTTTCAGTGCAGCGCTAGTTTTCCGCTGGAAAAAAAGAAAACAGGCCTGAGGGCGTGTTATGCTAAGGCGCGGGGATGTCTCCTCGGGGATGATGGACTCTCGACGATGAGGGGAGCTACAAATTAGCTGAATCCGCTATGATGCCGTAGGATGTGTCAGTGGTGGTGCGATAGAGTTTTGATTAGTTTCGCGATCGAGAACAACTGCGTCTCGCCGTGATATCGAGCTTTTCCTACGAAGGCGCGATATCTTTCGACGTCTCGGTTTAATCCAGGTGCAGCGCATAACTTATACCGCCCCGCGCACGTGCGGCCCTGCGCTCCGTAACTCAAGTAACGTTATGTATGCAATCCGCCTGGAGAGCAACGCCGGGCGGAATGTTTAGTCTCGCTGCATTGTTTTCAATTTCGAGGCAACAGCAGCTGAGAAAAGGGCTAGCTGCGGCAGCGAGAGATGAAGAGAGAGAGAGAGAGAGAGAGAGAGAGAGTGAGAGAGCTCCCTCAATATTTGTTACACCTACGAGTCCTTGGAAGAGCGAATGAAAATTTTTCCTTCTCGTAATTTCGTGGTGTATCTCGCGACTCAGTTTTAAATACCGCGTTATCATCCGCGAATTCGAGATTCGCGGCGTGCGTGCTGCCCGCTCGCCTGGGGAGACCTTTCCGCGCTCGTCCCACGATTAAAGCCCACTCATTACGTGCGAGTGGCATCAGCCTTTACGACGTCACGTTCTCAAAGGGTAAGAAAAACGGCGGAAAAAAGCAAAGGGGAATGCCCGCGAATCTCGTACTGTATCCGACGCCGGCATTCTGACAGTGGCGGAATTAACACGTCCGGCAAGTTTGCACGACGAGCGTAATGCCGACAATTAAGCGTCTTTCGCGTGACGGCGATTCTTTCCGCGGCAGGGCAGAGCGTCAGTGGTGAGAAACGAGCGATTAATCGACCCTACAGCTGGCGCGGTAAGAGATAGCGCGCCCGCACCATGCCACGTGGGAAATCAAGTATTACGGTCGCGACGAGATCTATCCGTCCGAGCGAGCGAGCGAGCAAACGAATGAACGAATGAACCAGTCAGCCAGCAAGCAAGCAAGCAAGCAAGCAAGCAAGCAAGCGAGCGAGCGAGCTTCTCTCCTCTCTCGACGTAGACGCGATCGCGCGGAATAAACTCTGACGGCGACGGCGGCGATCGTCGCGACGGCCAAGCGGAATTTCTCTCGTCGTCGCGCGACATCGGTGCGGTCGTGGTGCGCGGCCGATCGGCTTTACGGTTCAATGCCGCCACGGATCGATCCGAGCTTCATTTTACGATCCTGCCGCGGGAGAGTTATTTATGCGGTCTCGGCGAAAAGGCGCGCAGCGTGATGCAGCTGCCGCGTGACGCCGATCGTTATGCAACGATCGTCGCGGGCGGACGCGTCTCGTGAGGATCGGCTGCGCCGAGGAGTCGAGAAAGAGAGAGAGAGAGAGAGGGGGAGAGAGAGGAGAGGGGAGGGTTTTCATATTCCACAAGCATGTTCGCGCATTCCTTCGTGAAACGAATCGCGCGCTCGCGGGTGCATGTGTCGCACCGCGATCGGCATCGCGTCGATTTCGGATATCTCACGGTGTCATCTCACGGCGAGAGAGAAATCGTGTATTTCTAAGCTCTATTCCATCGCAATGAGGGCCGGTGCTCCTTCACTCGCGGCGATATTATTACCACGCTCTCTCTCTACGAGCTACACAAGAACACTCGTCAGCCCAGCGGCCGGTCGGGACGAGGAGAACACTCGCGACGATCACCGAGCGCAACTGTGCGCGCGTGTCCTCGCGCAGGACCCGCGACGACGAGAGCTCGACTTTACCTCGGAATGTCCCGTGGCCAGGAGCAAACTCGCGACACGTCACCATCGACGCGCAAACAGCGACTGGCCGCCTTTCGAATTCGCGGCTGGTTTGCACCTCGGCGACGGTTATCGCGCGACACGAGTACCCTCTCTCTCCCTCTCTCTCTCTCTGTCTGTCTCTCTCTCTCTCTCTCTCTCTCTCTCTCTCTCTCTCTCGCTCTCTTTCCCTTCTCCTACGCTCGCTCGTTCACTCGCCACCCGCCTCCTCCCGAAGTAAAACACATCCCCACCGAGCGGACGAGCTTCCCTCCCTCGAGCGGCTCTCAGTGCGTCCTTCGCGTCGCGTTGCGACGCATCTCTCGGCTCTCTCGTCTAGTTTCGTTTCGTCTTTTCTTGTTTTCCCGAGGGAATCCCGATCTTCATCCTCCCGCGAAGCTCCTTTAATCAATGCCCCTGATTTTTCGGACGTTTTTTTCGCGCGTAGACACGCGCTGCACCAACATCGCGTTGTTATCCGCGAGGTCCTTATGTAAATTACTCGTATCCCGCTACGTGTCGCTTTGACATTTTTTTACGAATGTTTCCTTTTTTTTTTTTTTCGTGTAGCATATGCGAAGAAT